GGTGGTTACGTGTTTAACTCCGTTTCGATTCGGTTCGGTTCGTACATGGGCAATTAGACGATGATGTGTTGGTTGGTCTCGAAATGTCAGCGGTATTCGGGATTGTTTATGGTCGATTAATTTGCTTCATTAATTTTTTTTCTAACAATGTCCCAATAAAATAAAAATGTACATAAAGTGCGTCTTAATATGTAAGAACAGCAGTGCATAACAACCCAAGTGTCATGATCAAAATTGGTAATTTATACAAATCACATCACAATTTCAGTGGCCCAATTTTTCGTCGAAGTTTGTTCCAACTGCATTCTGCGAAAAAATATTGTCGTGAATTGGTATCCATCCATAATTCTATAAATTGGCAATGGATACTACAAAATTTCTTGTTACAATCTATGTTTACCTTTACTTAAGTACATGTATGAATTAGTTTATTTATAGTTCATTGTTTTAATTTATTACGAGAAAAGAAATAAAATGGATTATTTATGGGCTTTATTAACTTTGATTGACCAATAATAAGTTTTGTAATAATATTTGAGTGAAAATATAAATTCTCTGAAAAAAAATTACTATTTATATTGAAAAGAAAATCTTTTGTAAGTTTGTGTTATTGATTCTTTTGACCGGGTTATAGGATAATTCAATTTCGAAATTATACTTGTTAAGTATAACTTTCGTAATAATTTCTCAAAAATCTTTTATTCAAATTGAACTAATTATTTACCTAACTTCATCGCATCTAACGCCATCTGTTGAAATATATTACCACCACAAAACGATATTTTCGATCCTATGTTATTGATTCATGTCGTTGCTAAAATTTTAAATAATTTAAAAGTAACTAAACGTTTTGAAACAATTATGTCATGCATTGCAGAAATATTTTATTTCATTTTGGTCCTCTCAATAGTTGCTAAACCAAATCCCCGTGTCTAGTACGAGAGTTTTAAATTATATTAAACATATATTTTATTTGGAAATATTTTTTATAAATGTATTGTTTTATTTCATTTGTTCAACGTTCATTTTATAAAATAATAATACAACATATCTTTTAATTGAAAATTTATCTTTGTTGAAAATGAGATTAAATATGAAAATTGTTTTCTCCAAAACGGTTACGATTTAAGAAATGAAAGTTTTTGAGGTTATAAAAGATCGTTTGAGGTTAGGTTACACCAAATTTCAAGCTTCGATGGGTATCGATTCATTCAATATATATTATACTTTTAAAATTCGTTTAAATTTTGTTGAAAATAAGGTTGAATTAAAAAATTGTTTCCTCCAAAACGGTTAGGAATTAAGGAATGATATTTTTTGAGGATAGAAAGGAACGTTTGAGGTTAAGTTACACCAAATTATAAGGCGAGTTTATTAACATAAAATTTTAAAAATCGCCGAATTAAGTGACTTATTTTATAAATGGCGTTTCATCGTCAATTTCATATCCAAAATGGTTAGAGTTAAAAACATGAAACTTTTTCAGGTTATAATAGAACGTTTGAGATTACGTTATACCAAATTATATGCTTACAGTGTTTACTTTATAAGTGGTCATATCAGAATGCATTTTTAATGGGTGTTTCAAAACGCTCAAAGTAAGAAACATACTATACAATTTCTGCCTCTCCCATGGTAAAAACCACTTAACAATAGAAACAGTTTTAAGCAATAATAAAGCAATAATTAATAAATATTAGTAATTAATGTAACTAATTGAAAGTAAAATGAAAACTCCTTAGAGTTCTTCCCGTCTCTTGAAAATCGAACATTCCAAGATGCACTAAATATTAATGTTTCGGGAATTAAAGGTATTAAAGCAGATATGTATCAATGTCAATTATTTCTGAAGTGCTCTCCTTGTTTGAAACTACCATAATTAACCAAAACAATATCTTCGCAACAATAACGCAATTACGCCATTAGAAAATGATTTTGATGTCATATATCGCTGGTAAAATCATGTTTACGCTACTAAGAGCACGAGAATTACAAAGCATGCCTATTAATAATAAAGAGGGATGGCAATCTGAAGTAATAAAGTACCTTGCAGTATAAGTCGTAAGATATTTCACCAAACTAAAAGCTACTGCAAGAAATAATCATGAGATGGAAGCAGTGAAGAGTAATGAATTGATGAATTTCCAATAACATAACCAATAGAATATAATATATAAATTTAATCTAAATAATGTGCATAATACATTACTTTATATTAAACAAGTAAAAAACTGAATACATTAAAAAATATACCGATAAGGAGTAATTTAAAACTTGTAGTGGTATTAATTTATTGGTAGCTATAAAAAGATTCCTTGTTTGCGAGTAATGCTCAACGTGATAATTCCATCACATCAAAAATAAGCTTAAACTTGTTTGGATCACTGCTTATTAGTTTGCATTGAAATAACAATGAATAAAAATGTGAGTCAAAGAACATGGTAAAATTAAAAGATGGATTGCTTTCAAGCAATATATGCATATGACGAGATTAGATAGGTTTAGATAGGGAAGCAAGGATGATTCAATGATCTGATCACATTTCTTTAGGATGTATATAAACGCAAAAGTTTTGCATCTTATAAACATAAACGAACTGTTTCGGTTACTCTACACTTGACATTACGTTACTAATCAAACAAAATTGAATAATAAGGGATATTGAAATATTGAATTATAAGAAAAGTTACTTGCTTTACTGCAGTTATAGACTGTCGAAAGTGTAAGGGAGGAGTTATCAAAGCTAATACAACATTTAAAGTCCAGAAAATAGTATCATAGTTTATTTTAGATTATTCTCAATACATCAGTATTGCACGTATTTATAATATGTACTTAAAAGAAGAACCAATCGTGAAGTGAGCCACAAGATTGTATGATGTGAGATAATACTCAGTTTGATAGAGACTTTTAAAGGTTGTTGTAAACGGCCATCTTTTGTTGTTAAAAAGCTAATTTCAGATTCAAAGTTGAAGTGCTAATACTGTGTGAATGCGTCGCCAGAGGCCGGCTACATAAAATTTTCGGTAAAGTTCGTCAAGGTTCATCAAGAACTTACATTTGCCCTAAACCTTTGGAGGGCTTAAGTTACAATAGATGTTATAGGTCGCGGTGACGAGAAGGGCCGCTCCCCTCATCCCAGCAGCAATAATAATAATATGCATGCCCATGCATTGTGTCTAAGGTAGCAGAGTTAATGGTAATGTTGGGTTGTGTTTATTGCCAAAAAGAAACTGCTTTCTACAATTTATATCATCTTATTTGACCAGAAAGGAAACTTATTTTCTATTCAGAATAATATTATGTTTTCAAGTTGATTTTTGTATTCATTAATACTTTCATTATTCTACACATAGTGATTTATACCAAGATTTTTGAAGTCAGAAGTGAAATCGAAGTTTGTACTTCAAGCATGTTGCAAAAGGAATAGATTATATATATTTTAAAAAATCTCATTTCTCGGGTTGGGTTGGTTTTGTTTAAGATGCGTAGGGCAACTGTACTACATTGTTTCCTGAAATTATCACTATTCATTTTTGCAGGTGATATCTAAACAAATTTAAAACAAACCTCGACTTAACCTTATCATGTATAAATGTTTACTATTAAGAAGACACATATTGTGTCTACAGTGGCAACTCTATAAATTTGTCAGAGTCATTTCTCATATGCCATTCGGGTTATTTCCAGATCAGCTGGAATTGAGGCAGCATTAAGTGCCTATTATGCATATATTCATTCCTTACTAAGATATGGAGTTGTCTTTTGGGGTCGTGATGTTGGTAGAGATAGAATCTTCATACTACAGAAGAGGTGTGTAAGAGCAATCTTTGGTCTAAAAAATACTAGAAGTTACTTTAAAGACTATAAAATACCTACCTTGTATGGAATTTATATTCTGGAATGTGCCGTATTAGTTAGGAAGAATGGCTTTCAATTTTTCAAAAAATATGACATGATATCGCATCCTCGAGACACTCGGGGGAAGGCGAACCGTTATTTGGTGTCACCAAAAACGCACCTTACTAAGATTCAGAAGACGGCTCTGTACCAGAGTATCAAAATCTACAATTAATTTTAATTTTTCTAAGTTAATGTTTGAATTCAATTTGTATTATATCACAATGTAATTATTGTTAAATTGACGCACTCTACAGTTTTTTGGTAAAATGTTATTGGTATTATGTACTGGTATTATGTATACCAGGTACAGAATTGGCCCAAGTACATTACCTTGTCGAACACCAGCTTTATGCCATATTTTTTCGAATGCTTAGGCTACATCAACAAACATAGCAGAGCAATTTTTTTGCCTTCGAGAATTTGTTCTATCAGATCAGATATTCTGTGTACTTGATGATTGTACTGTGTTTCTCTAAATCCGAATTGATACTCAGGAATAAGTTGGTTTTGTTCTATTAACGGTTTAAGCTTTTTAAAGAGTTTTGAGATTACTAGAAGCAACAAGATTGGTCTGTATGAAGTCACATCATATGGTGATTTTTTTGGCTTAGATATCATAATTACCTCTGCAATCTTCCACATATTAGGAATTTGTCTTAAACGAAACGTTGCGACATAATAAAAAAGTTTTAACAGAAACATTATGTATAAGTGTTTTATATGAGTAGATGTGATATTAAATGGTAGTTGTAGCTCAAAAAATCAATAATTTAGTTACTCTGATTAATGAAAAATATTGTAAAGCTCTAGACATAAAGTCCAAAACACCCTATATGTTTAGTGTCTAAAACATATAATTAAATTAATAGTTAATATCGTATATAAATTTTCGTATAGAGGCTGGCAATAGTTCGTGTTGATCCGGTCGGATCGCGACCGTTGAGTGCGAGCTGCGCTCATCAGCTCGTCGGAATCAGCGTCAGCGGACGGTCGTTGAACCCGAAGCTGAACGCGCGCGAGTATCGAAGTGGGGACGTACGTCACTGGGCCATCACCTCCGACGACGACGAGGACGGAAGATGTCGGCGCGGACTCGGACGCGGCGCTACGCGACCGTTCCGTCCGTTCTTCTTCTTCTCCTTTGCTCGCTTTCGTAATAAAAGAAACAAAACCGAAATAAAAAGGGTCGGGACGCCGAACGCGGTGGAAGTGCGCGCACGGTGCTCATCAGTTTTTCCGGGATCGGCACGTCGTTTCTTCTCATTTTCCCCCTTTTTTTTTCTGCCAATTAATTTCGTTGGACGATCGGGCGCGCGGTCTGCGCTCGATCGTCGTGAAACGGTGGCCGCGTTGAAGTGCCGGGACTGAGTATCTATATAAAACGTTTAGAAAAGTGCATGCATTGAAGGAAGCGCAAGTAACAGTTCTTTACCAATTAGAAATGAGCGTCACCCGGACACTGAAATAATGTGATGTGTAGGTATTCGCGTGGCGGTGGCGGCGATTATTGCGGTGATTGCGATGATTGCGATTGCGACATTCTTTGTCGGTGATTTCATTTTCTATTTAAATGCTGCTAAAACGTTCTTTTACATAAAATCATTTCGGTTTTAATTTTTTTTTTTCGTGCAAAATCTGTGTGGAAAGTCCTCTCCAAAACCGATAACGACAATCTTTATTATTGTTCACCGCTATCGCGTATACATAATCGGTCATTCACTCCGGTTAAAAATAATACCGCGTTGGCGCGTTACTTTTCCGCCGTATATTAATAATTAACGAAACGAACGGGAGACGACCTCGTCCTCTGCTCGCATTTTTCCCTCCTCTTATTAGTACTTATTATTGTCATCATTATTATTATTATTATTATGATTCGATCCCGAGTTCTGTTCTGCGTTTAACTGTTGGTACGACAACGACGAGCCAGCAGTAGCGCTTGTGGTTCAACCATATTTGGCGGTGAACAACCTCGGGTTCAATGGCTTCAGCCGCTCCTCCAAACGCTTGCGGATTACTGCGATCCCTATAAACAAAAGCCGGCTATGTGCCGCTCCACGTGTACTGATATGTCATATAAATAGCTCGGAGTTGGAATTTTTCTTTTTTCTCACTTTTAACCTACTCATAGAGCACTATTACAAGACAAATAAACGCATGTTTGTTGATAGTCTTCTTATTTTCAAGTCAAAAATTTTCTTAAAAACTAGATAAATTTGAATGAATGAACACTTTAGACATTATCATAAAAGTTATTTATAGGTATCATTAACATCACAGCTGATAACACACACTATAGTCTTAAATATTACGCAACAACGTCGAGTACTAATTTTAATTAGTACTCGATATTGGAGAAACAACTCAAATAATTGTTTAATGTAATAATTTGAATCAAAATTTTATGGGTTGTATACGTGTCCACAAATGGCGATGCCTTTTATTGACATACGCGAGCGCAGGGTCGTTGAACTTTCAAAAAATACACAGAGACCACGGTCTCAAACGCGTTCGCAACAGTACGACCAGCCGTTTATCGCCGCGTGGATACAACGCGCGTCCGGAAGAATAAAAGTTCGATTTTTGTCCTTCTTTCCGCCGATCGTTTTTTCAGATGTTTCAGGTCATTTCAGTGTCCTTGCTATCAATACTAAAAAAGACTTGCTATAATATAGTGGCGTGAATCGTGTGTAACACGTTTAAGGTACAATAATAAAAAAGAAAGGGTAGAGTGAACCTGATTAAACCTTTAGAAGAAAAGTTTTTTATTTTTTTTGCCATGCTACGATTAGCTGGCACCACGGATTTTGAAAGAACATGTGTGTATAATGGACCCGTGCTATACCGGTAGTGAAAACTGGAATATAGAAGGTGCCAGGGAGGTTTTGGTGCATGGGACAAGGGTCTCTTCGACCTCGTCCGCTTCTCACACACCTGGACCTTCGCAGCAGCAGCAACAACAACAGCAACCGCAACAACAGCACCAACAACATCAAACCGGTACCATCTCGGATGACGATAAAAAAGCTGCTAATTCCATTCGAGGTTTGTGTAAAGTGTAAAAATTTGTCCATGCCTAAATTTATTTTTTTTTAAATCGATTTACTTATTCAAGAAGAGATAGGAATTTGTTGATAATATTCGACAAAGAGCTGTATGGGAAACCACTTTACGGGTGCCAGAATTAATTACACGAGGGTTCGTCGACCTTGTCAACATTTTGACTGATTAAAATTCCGTGGGCCGTAGCTCCGTTAGCGACGATTCGTACACCGAATTCTTTGTGCGTCGTCGCCGCGGGTTTTTCTTTTTTTTACGCACGCACTCGCCTAAGCCTATCTATCTATACAGATAGCGAAAGGTCGTAGAACCTCAAACTTAACCGTAGGAGGACCTACACGTGCAGACCAAATACTTGGTTACATTATACCATTGAAGAAATATTAATTTTGATTTAAATTTGAATGAAGTCATTTAAAAAAGAATGTAATAAAAGTAAGTAATTAAATGTGATGTCATTCTTACTTACGAATTTTTCTAAGTAAAATATTTTCAGAAACAACAAAAACGTTAAACACATCACAAAATGATGATGTCATGATGATAATGGTTAATGCGAAGAACAGTTGTAGCTGTAAAGATATGTTTTTATGACATTTGGATAAACAGTATTTACCTATATGTTTTAAATACTAACTTTACATCTAATAAAATGGTGTATATTTAAGTTATATAGTACAAAAGCAAATTCTATTTAGATTGAAATTTATTGAAATCTATTCGGAATTAACACGGGAGGATTCATTGTTTCTACGATTTTAGATAATATCGGGTCGATTGAAATAGCAAACTGAACCTTTATGCTGCCGAAAGAACGATTCGTCGGCAACAACGAACGCGGGTGCGCTGAAAGGCGTCAGATGGGTAGCGGTGTCATTTTGTCTGCGGAGGCAATCGCGTTGTTGGACATCTCTGTATAGATAACGTAAAATTCAATCACGATTCGCTTGTACGTTGGCTGAGGACGTCGACGTGATGTCATAAAATCGATGCACCTACTGGGAGTGGGAATTAACTGCACGATTCCCGAATGAAATTTATTACCTGAACCGATACGGGCGTAACTTTCTATTTATTTATCTGTAGTTATGTATGTTCTAGTGCCTATTTCTCTACGAAGAATATAAGTATGTAACATATTGACAGATTGTTTGGTGTGTTGTTGGGTTGATGATAAGATGAGAGATAATCAAGAAATCAATCCAATTTTGTATAATAACCGGTAAGGAGACAATTCTGAAAGCATTGTGCTGTAAACGAGGATATTAAGAAAGAAGTTAAGCAGAAAAATATAAAATTAAAGAATAATGTTTGTGGGCGAGATAGTAGCAGATATGAAAGATGTAGGAAGAAATCTATGATTTGTTATAATAATTACTAAGTAGATTAATAATTATATTTCTTCAAAGTTTTTTCAGTAAACATTAATGTTTGAAAAATACCAATAAGTTTTCTAAAATTTTGGAACAATGCTTATTTATTCAATTTTTTGCAATATTTGTAGTTCCTTTCTTTTATCAGGCAATTTCCTCACCGATACTTGAAAACCAACCTTAAAGTCGAATTGCGTACTCATGGCTAAGTGCTTGTTAATGGTTTGCTTCGCGTTTTATTTTACATTAACTCTTTTCCAAAAAATTTTATAACAGTTACGAGCTTTGGCAACTTCACCATATTTTTTTCTTTCTGAACCACTAAAGTGTTCATTGCTACTAAGACCTATTCATTTTTTTTAATGGTAGTAAAATATCTGTGAATAGTCACCTCGTGTGATTTCAGGAAGAATCTTCTACTTACTCTGATCGATCGGTGTTTAGCAAAAGCAGAACTTGACGAAAATTCGCAAGGTTGAGTTTTTGCTGTCATCTGCCAGAATGACTAAATTTCTCAATAACAACGTAAGTGCCAGGAGATAATGCATCCATCATCAATAGTGAAAATGATACCTGTAAGATGAGATAATGTTTTTATTGTTTAGTTACCTTATCGTGATCGATGATTCTTCTATTTCACTGCCCGTACTATTTATTCTTATAGATTACTCAACCTGAGGTTTTAGTTTTCTTTACTATTATATAACCCAAATGTGAGACACAACTCTAAAGAAGTGAGAATTTGTTACTTAATGAAAACAAAGAACAAATTATGAAAATTATGATTAATGAACAAAGAAAAATTACAGGTCTCAATTAAAAAAAAATTGGAATAGAAGCGAAGCAGAAAGTCGTGCTTCTTCAGAAAGCGAACTGAGGGAGATCTAAATAGAATTGTCTCGAATTTTGATGTCAATAGATAATATAAAACTACTTGTAAAATTAACTAAGATGAGTAGCCTTAACTTTAAATGAGTTTTAATCGCGGATTGACGTGTTATAGCAAAGATAAGCAGGAAATGTAAGGGGAATTACCGGGTTACAGGCCAGACACAGAAAAGCAACGCATAAAGTCTAATTAAAGTGTGATAGTCACAGAATATGGACTGAGAATTGGGTTGGTCAATTAACTGGTTACTTATATATAGTGAAACTAGTGATCTTCGGATACTTGAAAGACTTACAGTCCATACATTACACATGGAGGATCAAAATAGGAAATCCTCGTTTTGAAACATCACAACGCAGTTTTACAGAAAATTTCATTAAATTGCAAAATATTTTCATTCATTATTCTCTAATTTATGACACAAATTGCTCAGATCTTGATCACTTAGTCCAATATAATTTCATATTATGAATATATTTGTTGTAATTGCTGTAAAGGTGGTAATTGCGACATAATTTCGTTAAAAAATCAGTTAATGTTAATTCAATATTAATGTAAAAAGTTTTGTCCTGGTCTTTGGTAATTGATACTAAATAGTTTTTGGAGGTTTCACTTACAAGACGTCTTATTATTGTGCTTATGCTCTTTGCATGACCACATGTTACACATTTTTCACGTTTCTTCAAGGAAGCCTCATCTACTATAATGTCTCCAGGAAGTTTGTATTGCCGTATTTATGTATTGGTGTAATAATTATACCAATTATTGATAGAGATCTCTTGGACCATTTTTAGTGATGAACTAGTCTGTGAAGGCGAGTTACTTACGTCACAGTAATCTTCTGCATATTCAGTAAAAAGCGTTTTTACATCCAAAAAGGCAAATAATTTCATCTTATACTTCGTTGCCTATGGGTATCCAATAAACGTTAAATGGCAGAGCAAAACTCACTCCACCTATAATTACTCTTATAATTTTTCAAAAATCCATCAAGTACGATGTATTTGCAACCCGCTTTTCGGTAGTTTTTCGTTCATTCTCGTTGATCTATGATCTAATCGAAGGCATGTTAACAAAATAGAAATCGTTTGTAACTCATTGTTACTCTTGAAACCTGTATCATCGCGCCATCTTTTACCCAGAGTTTCCTCACATTTGTATGATTAGCTTGTTTCGACTAAATCAGGTATACCAAGCGTAATGGTTTATATAGTCATATTTGTGTTAGTTATCTTATATACTGCTATATGTATAAGGGGTTGTCCTATTGGTCTAGAAAAGATTTTAACTAACTTGTTTTCTTTTTCTACTTTTAGTTACATTACCCTGTAACATAGGATCACCAGAATTTTCATTACTTTCTTCGCTTGAATCAGAGTTATATTCCAATTCACTTTCTGCCTCGTACACTTTATCTAATTTGTTGATTTTCAGTTTCAGAATGATCATTATTATAAGCATCTTCTTCATCAGTCTAATTACAGACTTGCCACTCTAGATATAAACCCTGTAATGAATATTCGCCGAAGCAGTAGCTAAAAGCTCAAGGCAATAAAATTCATTACTAACTACGACTATTTTGTCGAAAATAACACACTCAGAGGAAAACTCTGTATAATTTTCGTATTTTCCGTATAATATCAATTTAATATTTCATTACTCAGTATTTCAGTACTCAGTATTTCAGTACTGAAATATGTACTCAGTTAGAAGTTATTAGGTATTTCGAATTTCCCAATAAGTTCTTAATTGCAAATCTGATAAGAAAAATCCAATTTGTAAGTGATAAAACATTAATAGTACTGTGACTAATTTGACAGTGAAAAAACAACAAATAACTTACAATAAAAATATGTTTTGTAATTTCACAAAAATCTCTAAAAAGTAGTTGTTTATGTGTTATTGCTGGAAAACTGTATTGATTTATAAAGCTACCGTGCCTATATTTACCTGTATTCGTTTGTCAGCTCTGACAGTTGAGTTACAGAAAATACGAGTTCAAAATATTTTTACTATTTTTTTGCTTATGATGTTTTACGCTAATAAAAAATAGTTTCTTTTAAGTGGAGTTTTAAAGTATTCGTCGAGGAATCAAATACACTTAAAGCGTGTTTATTGATTCAGATTTATTGTGTAACTTAAGTGTATTCTGTATTTTACGTAGGTTTGGGTTCCAGAGTTAACTGAGATTGAACGGACATAAGAATAGCATTAAGCTCATTTTGTGGGACGAAAACTTTGCTTTAACAGATGTTGACTGTCCCGATTAAGCGAAAGGTTGTTCCAATTGTTTATCACACTTAATCTTAAATGTTTATATTAATGATTTTCTATATTTTTAAAATTACAACGAATCAGCTTATATAATTAATAAATCGGGGTTAGATTATACAAAATATTATCAATTTCTCTAGATTGCTTTCATTTCAATACTCTATAATGCCCTATTTCATAATTGGTCCTGATGCTTTTTAGTGTATTTGTATGTTTGAATCTAATCAAATAGTATTCATGGTATGACTGGCCTATGTATATGATATAATATTATACAAAAAATAGCACTCTGTTTCATAGCATGTTTATAAATTGTTATAAGTCAGCTTATTGCAATCTATATTGTCATTAAAGGATTATAAGGATATAAATTTCATAATAAATATTATATTTTCTTTCCGAGATATTAAAATAAAACTGAAAAACATGAAGCATTAAAGATAAATAAAGGAAAACTTTATGTTTAATATTTAATACTACATTTTAACCAATAAAATATCCACTACTGTTTTTTACCACGATATGAAACGCGTTATACCTTTTTTGTAAACACATTTTCTGTCCTTTTTTTTCATGTTTTTCAAGCACTTGTTGTTGTATCAACTCTTCTAACAAGATAACTCCTTTTGATAAACCAACGCGCATTTTTTTAATAATACTACGTCTTGTTTGAACGTTACAAACTTTATTTGCACAGGTATTTTTTCTCACGATTTTGATTGACTTCATTTGTTGAAATGCGGATTTAAACCGGATATAACGGTAACTCATCGTCATTTTCTTTGGAAAACGCACCGAATTGACATCATCATTCTCGACGTCTTGGAAGGCGGGTTCATTAAACAAAACACGGCGCGTTTCCTTTGTTACGATAGTGACTAATTTGTAAATAATGAAGGTGTCAATACAATGAACGATAACGAAATCGAGTTTCCTGGTCATTTGAATGCTGTCACCGTCAGGGAAAGTAGTTAACATATAATTCGCGGCAAATATGTTTATTTTATTTTTTTTAGTTTTAATTTCTAATTTCCAAGCTATAATCGTATATATTTATCGCGAAACTTTAATCTTGCGAGATTTTTATCTTTGTACACATTATTTAAAGCGTAATCGATGACGTTATGAATCGCCTGTTTAATATTTATCGTTTTCGTAAGATATATATGTACAGAGATGTTTTATTAAAGATTCCAAGATATGTAATTTAAATTTTGTTACTCTTTTTGCCTAAATAATTTATCTTTGTCAATTATTGATGATTAAGTTTTACTGTATGCAAGGTTGTAAAGACTGTTTGAATTTATTTCAATGATATTTTTTGTTTTTAGCACAAATCGAGATAATACCATGCAAGGTATGCGGCGACAAAAGCAGCGGGGTCCACTACGGTGTAATTACGTGTGAGGGATGCAAAGGGTTCTTCAGAAGATCTCAAAGTTCAGTGGTCAACTACCAGTGTCCTAGAAATAAGAACTGTGTCGTAGACCGAGTAAACAGGAACAGATGTCAGTACTGCCGTCTTCAAAAATGCTTACGGCTCGGCATGAGTAGAGATGGTAAGTTTAAACCCTTTTCTAAAAAAAGAAATGAATTTAAAATATTATAAGAATGCGTAAAATTTCAATTGTTTGTTGGAGCGGACGAACAACTGCCGGCCGCTAGAAACAATATCGCACTAAATCGAGGCTATTCAACCGTTTGATAAAGATTACGTCACAGCGACCGGCCGAGCGCACAGTTCGAAAGACAAGGACAAAACGATCCTGTCTCGTTTCCTGCAAACTTTGTAGCGGCTTCGGCTACCGGCGCAAACACGTTCGCACCCACTAACACAAACACAAGACTGCGCACGGAGTGCAAATCGCAATCGTTTCAGCTGTTTTTGCCGCGTGTTGCATGACGGAAGTAAGTTGGCGCTGAAAGCGACGTTGCCACACGTACATTATTTACGGACCAACGCTTTCAAGGAACATAAATGACTTGCAAATGTCTTGTATGTATGTATATTGGCACTCTTGTAGATGTATTCTCGAAAAAAATCTTAAAATAAGAATGAAAGAAACATAAATTTGGTTAAATTGTTTTAGTATGTGTAATTTTTCTTGGAAACAATTTTTATTTGATGTAATTCCAATTTTATTATTATTATTTTATGAAATTGTCTAAAATGCGAATGTTAAGAACTCAAACATTTGCTAATTGTATTGCTTTGGGTCCAAATACGGCACTTTATGACCACAAAGTAAAATGACCTCTTTATTATGAAAATGACATTGTAACTATGGAACAAGTTCAGTAACTATGGAATGAATACATAATTTCACTGTAATAGATGTGTGCTTCTCTAGAGGGGACTAATACATAAAAATCAGATTTTTTTGAAATTTTGAAAATATTTTTTTTGGTTAATAAATTACCAACATGGATAGACATACTTTGTTCATATATTACATCTGAATAGTGTGCACATTGTTTTGTATTTGTAATATTATCTACGTAATGCTCAGATCAATAGACTGGAAAACATTATACAAACAGATAAAGATAGTAATTTGGATGCACACTGTTTAGAAAATGAAACAATATTTAGACTAAAACGTTATTCAGAACCATAGATAATCTTTTGCAGATTCTAGAACGGCACACATCTGATACAGGCTATCCATATCGATAGTTGAGATATGTTTCAAAACTACTATTTAATAATTAAAACTTGAATACAGAGATATTTGCATTCTAAGTGCATTGTAACTTAGAAGGTAACTTAAAATTTCAACTTATATGAATTCAACATGGAACCAATGTTTAAGATTCGGATGAGAAGCGTCCCAAGCTTATCCAAGCACTCAATTCCAATGTTTTATAAATTTCTGATAAATCACTTAGTGTGCTTTGTTTAACATTTTTAAATTATGACTACATAAAGTGATCAAATATTACATACAAGTCGAATATATTGAAAGCAAAGATACATATGGTGGATTACGAATCTGTTGTATGGGACTAATTAGAGGCAGTAATTATAAAAGTATGTGCATGGTATTATGAAACTAATCAATCCCAAATATTTATTCGAGCGAATTAGAAGAGATTAATTAATGAGTACCGGATTAATGATACCCGATTATGATAATATTGTGAAAGCTTAAACTTGATTGATTCAGAATAGTAACTTATTAGAAGTTACTAAGTTGCTGCAAAGTTGCTCTTATAATATTATCAACATTTTAGTTGCAATGCCAGAGCTATCTTAAGTAGATTAAAAGCAAGGTGATAATAAGACACTTTTGTATGTGTTTATGGGAAGTCTATCATGCATTTTCAAGAGGCTACTTATATGCAGGTTTCCCAAAAGTAACGCATAAATTCGTTAAAACAGTTAAGAACAGTTTATGGAAAAATCGCTGAGACTGGTCTAAATTTTATTTAAATTTTTTACAATTATTTGGTATAGATTTTAAGATTTTCCGCCATTCTTAAACGAGTAATGACGTCATCGATATTTTTTTTCAAATAGCAATGCTCCATTTCTATTACGGAATATGAAAGAGAACTTTTTTCTGAATGTAGTACACTCAATATTTAAATTAAGTTTTCGAGAAAAATTATCTTAAAGTTTCATGATTTTCCATTCAATTGAGATAAAAAAATAGCAGTAGCTATACGTAACTATGGCAACCAATTGTTTCAGATATCAAAAATTAATCATTGTCTTAATAAAATATCTATAATAACTGGTTGCCATGGTTACGCATGGCTACTGCTATTTTTCTACCTCAAATTAATGGAAAATCATGAAATGGCAATTTTGGCAACTTTTTACCAAATTTAGAAAAATAAATTCTATTTGAAAAAAATAGTGATGACTATAACTAATTTAAAAATGGTTGAAAAAATTTAAAATCTATACCAATAATTGCAAAAAATTTAAATCTTTAGACCCGTTTCAGCGATTTTTCTATGATACGTTTTTAATTGTTTCTATTTTACCAGAAGTTTGTACATTATTTGTATCAGAAGAAGGATAAATACTTGGTGTACGTACCAAAATGTATGGTGATACTAGTATAACATCATACCAAAATTACCGTAAAGTTTTCTCGATGCTGGGTACCAGATGTTTGATATATCATGAGTAGGTACATATTCTGAGAAGCAGGAATCAAAAAGAATCACAATTTTCCAGAGCTATCCTAAATTATGTAGAAGCAAAGCAGTAAGATTTCAGAGACTTTTACCGTGCTTCTATTTGAAGTTGCCAACATGTATTTCCTGAAAATTTTTGCTTTACTTTCACCAAAACATTTTACCTTATTCCTACAAAAAGACTAATGTATCTTGTACTAGGCGTATATGCTTTTTAGAGAGAATTTTAGAGTGAACTAACTTGAAGCAAGGTAATGATTTTTCACGAAGTTCTTGCGAATTTTTTGTAGTTAAGAATTTAATTATGATCAGTAACAAGGAAATACATAATATGAAAATGCGATGAGAAGAACATTCAGCATATATTAGATTGAATGAGATAAACCAGCTAGGCTAAAAGTCCTATTGTCTTCTACAATGATGCTTCCAAAGCTATGTGATGTTTGCTGCCTACATCCAAATATGTGTTATTTGAATTCTTCCTTAACTATATTTCGTAATAGTTTATTTTGGAATGTTTAAATACACTTGATGTTCGAGTTACTAGCCCAGCCCCAGAGTTGAATACCTTAGTAACATATTAGTTTCAGGATCTGATTGTAAATTAGTAGTTTGCTGAAGATTGAATGTTTGGGAGTTCCTTCCAATCAACCAATAGAGCTGTCTGTATTCGCTCTTTTCTCCTTTACATGCTCTTTCCACCTAAGTTTGGTATCCAGAGTCATGCCTAGGTACTTGGCATTATTCCATATGGCACAATAGTGCTATTTATATCTAGAGGCAGTGGATTGTTTTGCAGTTTAGTTGTACAATTAGTATGAACGAATTTCAGCTGGTTTAACTTTATCCTCTATTTTTTGGTCTAGTCGACTATTCCATTGCTGGCTGTTTGCAGTTTCACTGGATAACTCCTGATCTCCACAGGCATGGTAGGTTTTTAAGTCCGCGTATTCATCATCTTGATTAACTCTGAAGAGGTTGTCCGAGATGTATGATGTTAATATCTCTACGTATTGCTTTAGATGCATTTAGTTTGTTTTATAATAAACCTTCGTGTTAATATTTGTCGAAGGCTTCTGACATCTAGGAAGACTACCGAGCAGACTTTCTTTAAGGGCTGCGCTACAAAGCAGCCCTTGCATTTCTCTTCTGAGTTCCTGGGTCTTGTTGTTAAGTATAGTTTAGTCTGAAAACCATAATTTCGTAGTAGTCAGAAAAAATTTGTTGATTCATTATTAATTGATTCATCATTTTATGACTTTCGATTAATTTTTCTCGATATTTCACCATATTATGATTTTTTTAGAGAAATCAGATTATAAAAACTTGTTAAAATGAGATTAACATGTTGAAATTCCTTAATTATCGTAGGATAATTAATAATATAATTTTCACATGTTTTTGTTTTCATAATTTCGTTTTAATATGTTTTTTTGAGATGCCACAATGTGTTGAAACATGTAGTAACGTAGCGTGTATAACATAAACCTTCTTTGAAGTATACAAACACTTTAAAAGAAATTTTCTATATTTATTTTTTTTAAACTAGTCTCTCATTTATTCCACAATGTTGTCAAAACAATATACTTTAGTAAATAAGTTTTTTAGACTTCTTGTAACTTTTTACAAATTTTTTATTCTCAATAATTATATAAATTAAGTTTTCTACATAAGTAATTTTAGCGCGATAAAGTTAATGACCTTTTAAAGAAACAACGGCTTTTAACACATTTCGTAATACAGTCACGATATCTAGTGTTAATTGACTATTTAGTATTGATGTAGATACTATCCTCATCTAGAAAGTACTTGAAAAACTTATAATTTCAAATCTAAATGCCACAGAATTATGTTTATTAATCAAGGAATACCGGAGATTCGACAGATCGAAGATAATCTTTAACGACCTTAAAATTAAATAGTTTCATCCAATCTTAATTTTCATAATTACGGTTTATTTGATATTTATAAATTATTTATTTTAATTAAAATAATGTTTTCAGCCGTCAAATTCGGGCGTATGTCGAAGAAGCAGCGAGAGAAGGTCGAAGATGAAGTGAGATACCATCGAGCTCAGTTAAGGGCACAAAACGACTCTGCACCTGACAGTTCCGTTTTCGAACCACCGACACCGACCAGCAGCGATCAATTACATCAAGGTTACAACGGGTTAGTCTTTTCTAATCATTTCTTAACAACGTATAGGTATAATCTCTTCAATAAATTTACTTAAATTAAAGTTAGTCGCTTAATCGATCGTTGAAGTCTCCTTTGATTTCTATGTATAGACTCAAAAAAAATATGTTAAATATCGGATGAATCGCGTAAGACAACACCCAAATAAAAAATTCGTTGGTGTGACTCTGACCAAAAATATTTTCGGTGATCACGTACCGTTCGCCTTAAAAGTGCATCGAGCGGCGCATGTCACACCTGACCAAAATAATCCGTTTTGGGGAAGTCATTGCACGGTCACTGCACTTGGGTTCAGTCTTCCATCGAAAACAGAAGAAGTTAATCGTTTCCAACTTCTTCATTATGATAGCAAAAAGAGTATTTTTGAAAATTTATTAAATATTGATTTTATTTTATTTTTTTTTTTAGATATCCTTATGATGACGTAAGCACGTACACTTATTATCCTGGGAACCAAGTACCTCAGACCACAATGGATTACCCGGCAATATCGACGAATTGCGTAGATAGCACCACTCAACACTATGACCCCAGGCCGGCCTTCGATGCTTTTAACGATAGTGGTAACCTGCTGGCCAACGTTGAACCCACTGGTAAGATCATTTTTCATTTTGGGTTTCTTTAGAGCCCCTTATTTTCTTGGATATTTGGACATCTGCTAATGCGTCAGCTATTCACACCATAACACTTGGGCTGAGGAGTGTTCTTGTCCGAACTTTCGCTTAATTTAGATCATAAATTTAGAATACTACTTAATCCATTGTAAATGGGTAACACAATTTGCACTTTAGTTGAGAAAAGCACAATGTTATCAACGATGCTAATTGGAGAAACATTATTTGAAGGTTTGAATTGGTAAGTAAGGGATGATAAAAAGAACATGGAATAAGAAGTTTAAAGAAAATATTGTGTTAACATAACAGAGTTGTAAGAAATATATTTTTTCTATGATCATTTTTACTTAGTAGTGTTTTTTAAAAATTAAAAATTGTATATATGGGATAATTTTTTTTGACTCAAAGTAGTGATCTTAGAAAAGAAGTATTTTTGGTGGAGTGTTTAAATGAGAGTCTAATGGGTGGCTTTATGGTATAGGGAGTGCCACTAGTTCAACTGGTGGAGGCGCCGGTGGTGGTGGCGGCGGAAGCGGTAAACAATCACTTTCAATATCCGATAGTCGCAGCTTCAAACGTGTCGCTCAGATTTCATCCAATACGAGCTTAAGCGGTGGCGGTGCCGCGACGGTTTCCGTTAAACAAGAAGGTGCAGTGGACGCCTTAGTACCTAGTTATGTAGATAGTACTACCTTTGTTAACTCACCCACCGTACAACAGACTAACATAAGGCAGCCAACGAGTTCGCAACAACAGCGAACCGTCGACGAAGGCGAGCAAACATCGTTGCCGAGTAAGTCCAAGAGATGTTCGACCGATGCAGGCAACGACAACGCTTTTTTTCTTGAATTACACTCAAATTTTGTTTCGCTTTATTATCTGTCTAATTTTGAATTTTATTTTCACGCTTTCATCTACAATCTGTTCCTCTATTTTATGTCGCTTTGCATTTTTTGGTTTTAATTTGATTTGATTTGCAACAATAATCGAAACAATCGTTTAATAATAATGATGGTTATTTATTTATTATTATTTTTTAACAACAGATCCTAATCAGATATCAGAACTTTTGGCGAAGACTGTCGGCGATGCATACACGAGGACGTGTCTTTATTCTCTCGAAACGATCCACGAGATGTTCAGAAAACCACAAGATCTGACACGGTTACTTTATTACAAAAACATGGCCCACGAAGAACTATGGCTGGATTGCGCCCAAAAACTTACGGCCGTTATTCAACAAATCATCGAATTCGCCAAAATGATACCTGGATTTATGAAACTACCGCAGGATGATCAAATTGTCCTTCTTAAAACGGGTAAATTTTGGAATACGTTTCGTAAAACTTTTTAATAACAATTTTTATGTGTACAGGTAGCTTTGAATTAGCGATAATAAGAATGGCAAGGTGTATAGATTTATCGCAAAATTGTGTTTTATACGGAGACACCATGCTCCCACAAGAAGCATTCTTCACGTCAGACACGGCCGAAATGAAACTGGTAAGCTGTGTATTCGAAATGGCGAGGAGCATAGCTGAATTAAAGTTAACGGAGTCCGAATTGGCGCTGTATTCAGCTTACGTGCTGTTGTCGACGGGTAAGTTGTTAAGAATATTTAATCGTCATATGCGATGTGACGCCGTCATAGACGTCTTTTCAGATCGGCTGGGTCTGAAATGTGATGACGATGGCATCACGAAGCTGAGGCAGGCGGTGACGAGGGCTCTCAAACATGAACTCGATAGGAATCATTCTCCATTAAAGGGCGATGTAACTGTGTGTGATGCTCTTTTATCAAAAATACCCTCTTTAAGGTATGTTTTTTGACCATTTTTAATTTTGTATTGTAACTTTATTTTCTTATATTTTTAGAGAACTAAATATGCTTCATATGGATGCTTTGGGGAAATTAAGGAGGTCCGCGCCGCATTTGGAGTTTCCGGCGTTACACAAAGAACTCTTTAGCGGGGAGAGTTGAGGAAATACCAAGTGCGATATCAATTTACAAATTGCAGCCTTGGGTAGCCACGGTAAGTTTGAATTTCTTTTAATAAGAAAAATTAATCTTAAAAATGTTTTTAATTTTGTAATAATAGTTAAAATTATAGCAAAAACTAGGAGAAATTCTGATAATGCTGGATTTTGGTATACAACTTATGTTTGGGGTTATAATAAAATTTAGAAGAATTTTTCGATTTCTATTTTCTAATTTTTATTGTTATTGTAGACCAAGTCGTTTTTCAGCAATTTGTATTACCTCTATGGATCACCTAAGAAATATAATGAGGGTCAAAAAAAATTTATAAATGTTCTATTTCAGGAATATTTATTGATCATGTGTTATTTTCACTTCATTCTTAAGTATTAATTAATCTATGAAACATCTGTGTTTTATTTCGCAAAGAAAAAGATATTCATGTAGATTCTAAAAACCAAACAGAAGTCATTTCATGATAATCTCTGATTATATCAATGTTGGAAGAAATAATACAACCCGAAATGATGACTGGAGCTATTCACTAAAACATTTGTCTTGTAGTATTTCTGCACAAATAACAAATGGTATTCAAAATTTCAGATAAAAAAAGTTTATTAATACGCAACATTTTTAAATTAAATAAACACTCTAAAGTATTTGTAGTACTTTAATAAAACAAATATACAAATTGGTTTTAGTTTAAATTTTAATCATTCCGAGTTTTTTTATTTCGATTCTAGAAACAATTCCAAATTGTTTATTAAAATCTGCATTCTTTTTAATATAATAATTGAAAATTTCATGATTCCAAACAATTCCATTTTTCTCGTTTTTCGATAATTTGTTTTGATCATTAAGAATTTTTTCATTTTAGAAGCAGTATCGTATTTTTACTAAAACATATACAGTTTTTAGTATAACTCGTAAAAATTTTGTGTTTTCAACACCAGTTTTAAAAAAGATATGAATTTTTTTATTGTTAACGCCAACTGTCTTTTAGTTTTTCGGTTCTTTTTTTTTTTGACCACCCAAATCATTTTTATTTCAACTTTTGAAGTAGTATCGTATTTTTTATTGCAATGTGCACCCTTTTTAGTACAACTCCTAAAAATTTGGTGTTTTCAACACGAGTTTTAAAAAAGATATGAATTTTTAAACGTTAATGACAACTTTTTTGTGGTTTTTCAGTACTTTTCCTTTTGACCACCCAAAACATTTTTATGTCACCTTTTTCGGCAGTACCGTATTTTTTTATTGGAATGTGCACCCTTTTTAGTATAGCTCCTAAAAATTTCGTATTTCCAACACGAGTTTTAAAAAAGATATGAATTTTATAACATTAACAAAAATTCCCTTTTTGTTTTTCCCTGCTTTTCGTTTTGCGCACCCGGAACACTATCATGTCAGTTATTCGAAGCAGTATCATATTTTTTATTGGAATGTGCACCCTTTTTAGTATAGCTCCTTAAAATTTCGTGTTTTCAACACGAGTTTTAAAAAAGATATGAATTTTTATAACGTTAAAAGCAACCTTCTTTTTGTTTTTCGATTTTTTTTGTGTTCCAACCCAAAACATAGTCATTTAATCATTTTTAAATAATATGGCATTTAATTATTTAATATGCCATAAATATTTTCTTATTGTTTATAAATATCGTTGTTGTAATTTTTTAAAAGCAACTCTGCATGTTTGATTGTTATAAAATATAAATTTAAAAAAATCGTATCTTGAGAACCAATAGAGATATCATCATGAAATAAGCAGCAATTTAAAGCAAATTTGATGAAGATTTAATGTGCTATAAATAATTTCTTATTTCCTATAATTATCGTTGTTATGATTTTTTAAATCTAACTATGCATTTTTGATTGTTGTTGATTTGAAATAGATACTTTAAAAAATCGCATCTCAAGAACAACTGGAGATATCATCATGAAATAAAGAACATTTTAAGGCAAATTCGCTGAAGATTCAATGTGCCATAAATAATTTCTTATTTCCCATAATCATCGTTGTTATGATTTTTTAAATCTAACTATGCATTTTTGATTGTTGTTGATTTGAAATAGATACTTTAAAAAATCGTATCTCAAGAACGAATAGAGATATCATCATGAAATAGAGATCATTTTAAAGCAAACTTAATGCAGATTTAGCGTGCCATAAATAATTTCTTATTTTCCATGATCATCGTTGTTATAGTATTTTAAACCCAACTCTGCATGTTTAATTATTCAAACAACAAATATAAATTTTAAAAAAGCGTATCTCAAGAACGAATGGAGATATCATCATGAACTAAAGAACATTTTAAAGCAAATTTGATGAAGATTCAGTGTGCCATAAATAATTTCTTATTTCCCATAATCATCGTTGTTATGTTTTTTTAAACCCAAGTCTGCATGTTTGATTGTTATAGATATGAAATATAAATGTATAAAAATTGTATCTCAAGAACGAATGAAGATATCGTTATGAAATCAAGAACGTTTTAAGGCAAATTCGCTGAAGATTCAGTGTGTCATAAATAATTTCTTATTTACCATAATCATCGTTGTTATGATTTTTTAAATCTAACTATACATTTTTGTTTGTTGTTGATTTGAAATAGATATTTTAAAAGAACGAATGGAGATATCGTCATGAAATAAAGAACATTTTAAAGCAAATTTGATAAAGATTCAACGTGCCATAAATAATTGCTTATTTTGCATAAACATCGTTGTTATGATTTTTTTAAACCCAACTCTGCAGTTTTGATTGTTCAAATAAGAAATATAAATTTTAAAAATCGTATCTCAAGAACGAATGGAGATATTGTTATGAAATAAAGAACATTTTAAAGCAAATTTGATTCGGATTTAATGTGCCATAAACAATTTCTTATTTTCCATAATCATCGATGCTATGATTTTTTAAACCCAACTATACATTTTTTATTGTTGTTGATTTGAAATAGAAACTTTAAGAAATCGTATCTCAAGAACGAATAGAGATATCATCATGAAATGAAGAACATTTTAAAGCAAATTTGATGAAGATTTACTGTGCCATAAATAATTTCTTATTTACCATAATCATCGTTGTTATGATTTTTTAAACCCAGCTCTGCATGTTTGATTGTTGTAGATATGAATGTAAATTTTAAAAAATCGTATCTCAAGAACGAATGGAGATATCGTCATGAAATAAATACCATTTTAAAGCAAATTTGACGAAGATATAATGTTATCATATACATCGTTATTATGATTTTTTTTTAACCCAACTTGGTTGCATGTTTGATTATTGTAAACTTTAAGAACAGATTAAAAAAGTGTATCTCAAAAACTAATTGTGATATCAACATGAAATAAAAAGCAATTTAAGGCAAATTTACTAAGTATTTAATATTTTGAAGATGATTTTTCAAATCTTCAAATTTGAGACTTTTTTAATTATCACGAAAATCTTATTCCATTCTCGAATTTTTTATGATGTTGAGCATGATAATAGCAACACGAAATCACCAACAACAAGATATATATCAAAATCTAACATTCTCGACATTTTTCTAAAGTTTATGTTAATAAGAACCAAGATATGGGCTTTAGATATTTCTTTAACGTCTTTTTTGGTAATACTTTTAATGTTAAAGTTTCAAAATTAATATTTGTTTTGTTTTAGATTCCTTGAAACTGAATGCATCGGCCTTAATTGCATAAATTATTATATACAAATTAAAAAAAAAGAATAATCCGTTAAAAGAAAGATATATTGTTGTGAATTAGAGAAATATTAAACAAAAAAAAACGATTTATTTAAAACGCTATAAAACAATTGTATAAAACGGGAAATAAATTATAACCGATCGATTTCGATTTCGACAAAATAGGTACGACTAAAATGAAAGGAAAAGAACTGGAACAGAACCGCAGATCTCTTTTTATTGATTCATTATAAATTTGTTGTTTGGTGAAAAACCGCAAAGGCGGGTTCGCGATAGAGCCAGGCCCTGATTTCAAAGTACAACTACTTGTTTGTTGTTTGTTATTTATCGAAATATATATATTATGCGAAGAGTATGTATATTACTATATATATGAGGTGCGCTTCCGCGGACGGATGCGTTGTTTGTGGTGCTTTTATAAAGAAAAAAAAATATAAATCGGAGAAACGTATGTGTACGTGCAAGTACCGCGTTTGCGGTTTTTTGTGTAAACAATAAAAAACGGAAAGCATAAATGTATATGGATATTTATTACGTATGTACCGTAATCTGCCAGACGTAATGTAAAAAAATGAAGAAACATGCTATTTACAAGTAAGGATTATAAGAAGTTATACACTATATTATATATACATAAAATATATACATACATACGATTATTATGCAGCATCTCCCAGTTGATCAACAGATGATTCTTTAATTTTTTTTCTTTGTCTATTTTTTGTATTTAACAATTCTGTAAAATAATAAACAAGTTCATGGCGAAATAAGCCGAAATGGTATTTATATGAAACGTTTATCTGTGATAAAATGGGGTATGCTGTCGAACGAGCTGTTATAAAAACTAGTGTGACTTATTAAGCATTTAGACGATTATATAATAAAATAGAATTCTAGAATAACAAACTATATTATATAATAATATACGTAAGCGAGAAACATTAAAATAGTAATCGATAGAATTTTTAGGTTCTTAGATTCTATGAATAGCTGATATGGGAAAGAAAAAATGATAAAACAATACGATTTAGAAGACTGTTTTTTGCTTAAAAACTTACGACGAGACGTGCTGCACTAATTTTTATAACAGTCGAATTAAAAAAAAATCCCTTAATTCTTCTTTTAAGTTACTCTTTTCTCCTCCTACCTTTTGGTGACACATGGTTTTATAAATAATTATAAATATAAAGAGATAAAAAAAATATAATGTATAAAAGTATATTGACATAGAGTTATTAGAATATTTATGAAATAGATTATCTCATTAAAAAAGAAAGAAAACGCATAAATAGGTTTGTTTTATTTTGAATAGTACCGTGATTAAACGAGAAGATGCGGTTCACTTTTAGTGTGTATTGTAGCGTAGCCCTCACCTATTCACTAAACAAGAAAAAAAAAATGATAATAAGACTTGAATGAATCATTGGAAAATTCTCAAATAAATTAGTATAAACCAAGTATAAGTGCCTATTAGAATTAAAATGTGTTTTCTATGTGTAATGTGGTATTTTCGTGGTGAAGTGCAATTATATTCGTAATTTCTTATATATTGTTCATTTGTGAGCGCGCCAATCCTTTGATCTAGAGAATCCCGTTAGTTTAAAAGAATGGAAATTAAATAAACGATTTTAGAACGAACAACCGCGCTTTTGAGATGTTGTACTACTCAAAATGAAACAACAAAACTGCCGGTGACAACAAACAACAACACAATTTTGCCCTTTTCTTTGTCTCTATTCAAATAAAATTATCAAATATTTCCTCGATACATTTTTCTCGATATCGTGCTAAAAAATAAATTGTTTTACTACTTTTAAGTTAGTTTATGTTTTCTTAACGTACGAAAACCACCGACGAGCAAATGTATAGATTTCCGTTTTTTATTTGTAAAGATAAATATATATTATAAATATTTATAAATCGTTACATCACAAATATTGATGAGTTTCTTTTTTGTTGTATAGTACCGTGTATATTATAATTATTATTGTGTGACGATATATTTTTCTTTTATTAATTATTTTTTTGGGTTGTTCAATTTCGGTGGTTTTCGTTCGTTCTGCAGTGTTTTTTTTAATAGTTTTTGAACGAGGGCTATGTTAATCTGTATTTAACACGACATGTTAGAAGGACATATTTTTCGATGTACACTTATGGCATACATACGTGGCTGTGTTATATACACGATTTACTTATTACGATTATCACGCTGGGTTATGGTAACTTTTTGAAAAGCTTGAACACTTTTTCAAACGCTTTCGTAACAATTTTCGTCTTGTCACATTATTTCCAGTTGATTGAGAGCATGTTTATGTAATTAAAAAAGTCAATTTTTTTTCAATTTTCTAAATAAATCAAAATAAAATTATATTGATAGAAAAATTTTAAATAAATTAGCAAATTCTAACTGCATTAGGAAATTAGGAATTAGGAAATATTTCTTTTGAAAAAGCTGATATTAAAATTTCTTTTGAAGCGATTTTGTTCGCTTGAAAAATTAGAAAAGTTATTTCAATCGAACGAAAGTTATATTTGCTTCGAAATTTTAATTTCTAATTATTATTAAAAAGGAAAAATTGTAGCTAGACTTAAATTGAGTAAGAAAAGCGGAAGAAGAAGTGAACAATAAGTTATCAAAATAAAAGTATATTGTAAATAGCCGTCAATGTAAATGTGGGTAAGGCAAGGGTAAATGGTAAAAAGCTATTTGTTAATTATTATATAAAAGAAAAAAATATTATTAAGGCATATAAAGCTGTTTTTTGATGAATACAAACGTACCTTGGAGAGACTACATACAACAAATCTGTACATTATTACGTAATTAATTAATTAATTTATTAGAAATCGTGAGTTTCCCCTTTTACATGTACTACTACTACTGGTGAATTTATTGAATAGATTTTTAGATGTTGCTACTAATTGTTTATATATTTTATTTTTGTTGGTTTAACATGTGCGCGACATATTTGTAAATATTTTTGTTTGTCCTCGGAGATCTGTGCTCGTCTCTATTATTAATTAATTAATTTTACTGTTATTATGTAATGTTAACGTTTAACTGTAACTTTTTTTTGGGTACTTGTAACTTCGTTAAGGTCTTATATTTGTAAGTGGACGGCAACACTTCGCGACTTCTTTTTAGCGATAAATAAAAATATTAACAAATATAATAATTCTGTCTTCAGCACCGGTAGAAATTATATATTTTTTTGTAATTTTATTTATTTTATTTATTTCGGCCCTATCCATTCATCCACCTAATCGAAAAAAGCATCCTTCTCACTCTTTCATTCACCCAAAAAAAAAAAATAAAACAAAAAGAAAATTACAACAAAACCCCTTCAACTTCTTCTGCGAATTCTTTGCGACTACCACACGCGAGAAATGGTTTTTTGAAAAGACCTCGATTTATAAATATATTCATAGCTATTTTGTAAGCTTAGATTTTATTACTACATTATTACGATAGGTACTATTAAAAATTGTTTTTGGTAATTTGATAAAAATCTAAATACATAGTATATTCCAAGTTATTTTTCGCCTTTTATTTATTATTATTCACTTTTACAATCCCTAATCCCAAAACAAAATTGGTACATTCTTCAACAACTTCCGGTCAATTTGACCGAGAAAAACCACGTCCTCGGGCCATGAAGCAGCCGTTGAAGACCGGTTCACTACCTCTCTTTCGGTATAAGTACCAGTTCCTCGAGCAGCAGCACTCAGTGTATTTTATATTTTTCGCAAGACTTCCATTATAAAAGCATTTGCGCTTCGCCATTAAATTGTCTTAATTGCCTCTTGGTGTGTTTTTTAAGTGTTTTTGAACTCTACATAATCATTTCCACGTTGAGGTCGCCAAAAGTACAAAGACTTTAAGGAGATGCGGTCCAAAGAACCATTCCATCATTTCTTTAATTCGCGTACTTAACTCGTTTAGTGAAACGAAACACTTGGATATTTACGAAACAATTGTCTCCTCTAACGAAGAATCTTCCTCAACAAACAAAAAGAAAAAAATTTCTTTCTCAATTCGCCGGTTAATTTATTCCATGCGAACCGAAAGGATGAAGAAGTTGAATAAAGTTGGTTTGGGTTTAATGGTCGTGTTTGGATACTTCTTGCACGTTGGTGAATGTATTAACATCGACAGTCGTCTTACAATCGTGAAAAGTGGTAAGTTTTAGTCAGTATTGTTTATAGCTTTCATAGTTTAATTTTAATTTTCTCAAGAATACAATAGAATTAAGTTTCTTATGGCTTTGGGATACAAAAAAAGTTCTGTTATTTGGGAATATTGAGCAAGAATGATTATCAAAAAATTACTATTAAGAAAAGGGTACCGTATTAAATTTTTTTAGAATCCATTGAATTAAATTTTTTTCGTCAGTTGAATAACCGAATCCTTGACCTCGAAATTTTGTATTTCTAGGTTAAAATTTACGACTGGCGAATATTTAAGAACGAATTCAAATGAGGTCGATCAATTTAAGAACCGTTTTAGTTAGTTTTTTTATCTCACCTTTTATTAATCCGTTTTTATATCCAAAGATTTTTTTTGCTAAACATAATCATCTTCATCAGACTCTTTTACCGTCATAATAAATCGTCTTAGCATGTCTAATATGGTTTTATTATATTGCGTTTTAGTTTTTTTAGGTGTTTTCGGTTATTATTATTAGTCCCAAAAAGGTTTAATGATACCATATACAATCCGTGTCAAAAGTAACCCTCTCTCCATCTAATTGGGAAATTGCTCAAGATATTTATGCAAAAATATTTTAGCATAAAGACTGATAGTTCCTTCCTCACACGAGGTAGAACCTTGGAATCGATGTTTCTGCAAACCTCGATAATTTTTGTGTTCAATTCCTCGATGTTCTCCAGCGGTTTCAAGTAGACTTTAGACTTTAAATATGTCCAAAACAAAATCTAGGGATCTATCCATCCTCCATTTACTTGCGTATTAAGATACCTTCTTCCCATAGCCGTATAATGTGGCGATGCTCCATCCTGTTGCAACACAACATCTATTTAAAATTCCCCTGAATTTTGTTGTACGATTTTCGTTATTCGTGGAACGAATCTCTAGAATCTGAAGATGGAGACCGGCTAATAGAAAAACAGGAGATTTCCTTTCCACGAATACACCGCAGGCTCAATATAAGTTAAATCAAGAAGCACACGAAGATGAACTAAGTAACAACTCGCCATCCATTCAGAACATGCTAAAAGCAACAAAAATCTTAAAACTAAAGTTGTCTAAACATAGACAAAATACTGTCGGGGCTCCAAAAATATGGGGAAAACAAATTATAACCACTCTACATACATGGATAGTGGAGAGATATGGAAAACAGAAGAGATCTCTGACGAATGGCGTACCGGCATATAAAAACGGAAACAGCTTGGAAAGTACTCACGACAATTTTCAGAGACAAAACATCATAGGCAAATATCAAGCTGGCTTCAGACCAGGTAGATCAACAACCGATAAAAACTTTCTCATAGTCAACTCTAAGAAAAGTTCTGCAAGTTTGACACTAACAGCGTACACAAAAACAAACTCTAAACTATAAACCTCGATCTGGATATACCATCCAAATTAGTGAGGCAAATGCACAATGTTACACAGCACATGCCGAGTAAAAATAGAAATGGAACTCTCAAGTGAAATTAAAGTACCTTCATTACTGAAATAATGAGATGGAGTAGCACCCACACTCTTCAACATGTCACTCGAGTCTGTTATGAGAAGAGTCAAAGTCGAACTAAACGCAACCTTGATGACTTAGTCCGTCTAAATGGTGAGATATGCAGATGACCTTAACATCCTTGGTAGATCACTGCCTCAACACCGCTGGGAGGGAGGTTGGGCTAAAAACTAAACTTCTGATTCAAAGTAAGAGAAGGAGATATCGTATTGGGCAGAATATAACGATTGAAGACTACAACTTTGAAATAATTAACTGTACTCGTTGTGTTGTTTTTCCTCTTTGCTCTTTTTCTTCTTTTTGCTTAAATGTTGAATTATTTATATAGCCATATTGATTTTTTTTTACATACGTTGCTGGTTGGGTCTTTTGGAAGACATCGCCTTTGGCGATAAACTGACCTTTTGTCAACATGCATTACTTATTCATTTATGTATACATATATATTATTTTTCTCTTGTATTAACTATGTGGCAATAAACTTATTATTATTATTATTAATTAGCACATTTAGCCCCATTTCTTTGCAAGTGGCAGCCTTAAAATTCCCAAACCAATCCAACTTAACGCGTCATCGGTAAGGTAGAACAACTCTGTAGAAACGTCATCGAAAATTTCATGAAAAGAGGGGTCTGTGTTCAGAGCCATGAGAGCCATTTGCCGGATATGTTATTCCATACTTAATCGGAACATGTCTGCTTTATAATGCAGTAAAAATATCACCACTCGCTCAAAAACTATGCGTTTTATTGTTAAATTAAATCGGGTATTGTTATTGAGACACTCTTTACTTCCTGTTACCTATCATGAGATGCCGAAACATCCACAGAGTCATCAAACTCCGCATACATGAAACTCTTATCCGTATAGTGGTATGCTACGTAAGCGAACCGAAAGAAGGGCAGATTCTCAAAAAAAATTGTGGCCCAAAAAGTGACACTGGAGTAATACATGAGCTTCCCCTCACACTACGCATAGAATTAATGCGGCTACACTGAAAAACGCATGTGCCGAAAGAGAGAAATTTCTGAGAAAACCAGGAGGAAGAGGTATTGTTGTTAGGCCAAGAGCAAGACGAGGAAGCAACGTGACCAGAAACGCTTAGGAGATTCTCGGGATGAAAAGCTGGAAGAATGTGGCGGGACACCGGAACAGTCGGGGCTAAGCATCGAGGAGGCCAAGGACCCCGATTTGAGTTGTAGCGCCATTGAAGAAGAACGAACTTCTTCTTTATTTTCAACATTATCAATATCCTGAGCAATCACAATGTGATCGTCAGCAAATGCCAAGGTTTTGGTGTACTATCCATGGCATGCCCATTGTTTAACATTTTCTTTTCCAACTTAGCAATGTCGTTTCTAAATAAATTTTAGACACTGTTGGTGCTTCACAACAATCTTGATTCAGACCTTTTTGTTACTGTAACCAGCTATTCTATTGCTTTTAGTGCTTCAGCAGTTATCATAATATGGTATACAGTTTCCTAGAAATTTATTAGAGGAAAACTGCCATATTTATCTTTTAGATCCACAAATACAAAATGCACTTCCTGGTTATATGCTATTTTCTTTTGTGTGATTTCAGTTGATCTAAATAGACTTTCAATGGCCAGTGGATCTCTCTGACCTGCAGCTACTCGTCTTCAGTTCTGTTTCCCAGTATTCTTCCATATATTCTGCTGGTAGTATTGATTAACAAGTTCACTGCGATCTCAGTCAATATGACTGAATCAGTTATTCGCATCTTACACGCCAGATATTCAGTATCTAATAATTTTGACCATGTAGAGTTATAAACCGGCTTCGTAGGAGTGCTGCGTAACGCCAGTTTCTTGTGCACAAATTTAACAGCAAGTAAATGGTAAATGAAAACAAAAACAAATCAGTGTTTATTATCGTAATTTCAATAACAAATAAATAAAATAATGTAGCTTGTAATAAAGTATTGGTTCAAAAAATGTTCCTATAGTAAATGAAATTCTGAAATAATGTAGCTTGCAATAAAGTATTGGTTCAAAAAATATTCCTATAGTAAATGAAATTCTGATGCTAGGCAAGATGGTAGGCAAGATTTAACTCCTGACCATAACGATGTTTTTTATTGAAACAGTTAATGCACAGATGAGGCTTCAGGACGTGAAGGACGACTTCTGCTTGGTGTGACTTCTTAAACTTTTTCTGCTAAAGAAGGGCGAGCATTGCATAAACCATAAGCAATTGTTTTGCAAATTGTTGACATATTTTCATTGATCCTTTGCCAATAAAACAGAGTTAAAAAAAACCATGCCAATCTGTGATTCAAGCTTTATAAATAATTGTGGTTTGTTGTTATCCCAAAATTTAAAATAAGAGAATCATTACATTGTATTCATTATTATATTGTACATTTATACATATTGAATAACAATAAGTCAGTATTAAAACATTCCAAAAACATTTAAAAAATGTTTATACTGTTATAGATTGTTATGAAAGAATCGCAATTGGACAAAAAATCAACGAAAAAAATGTATCTAGAAAAGCTCATTCAAAAACATTTATGGAATGCCAAATGGAATGCACAAACGATGGAGAGAAATGTAAATCATTTAGTTATGGGTAAGTTATTGTATTTCTTATTGTTAATTGTTAATATTTCTCCTTTTATTTTAGTGTTGGTGTTAAAGGTAACTCAACATGCGAGATTAGCTCTACGGAAATAAAACAAACTCCCACCAAAAATCTTGAAGGAACAACCATCGAAACAGATTATGATTTATACGTTAGAAAAGTTGATTGTAAATTTGTTTTCCAACCGGAAGTAGATGCCATTCAAACTGAACCGGATCACACAACAGTCAAACTTCATAGTGGCGAAAACACCGAAAATTCATATTTACCTTCATCTTCAAAATTAAAAACGTCACCTAATGTTCCACTTCCTTTTAATGCCGATTATAAACCAAAACGTCGACCAGAATCGTATAAAAAACAACATGATTATGGGGAATTAGAACATAGATTAGGGATATTAGAAAATAGAAAAAGTAACAGAAAACAAGATGATGTTGGTAATTACGATGATGAAGCTAATTTCGATGGATACATTGGAGCGGTATCTTATAATCAATACGATAAACCGGAAGTATTAGATAACAAAAAGAAAGAAGAAGCAAAAAATAGAGTTCCTTATGATTATATTGGATCGAATGGGCCTCCGAGGGGATATGGATACAGTAACGCTCCCGAAAATAAACCAAAACCACTTAAACCATTTGGATTGGATAATCTTTACGATTACACCCCGAATTCGTATGATTACAATAAAAATAAACTTCCATATAGGCCAAATCAATTAAACAAACCTTACAATAATTTTAATCGTCCAAAACCTATTCAAAACGATGGATACGATAATTCCCCAATAAACGATTTTCCGAATCTTAATAGTGGTTCAAATTTTGAGTCAAATTTCCACGATCCGGACAATCCAAATTATCCGACGGGATCTCAAAATCACTTTCAAAACTTAGATTCGGGATATGAATTTAGCAAGCCCCAACAAATGGTTAACGATCAGAATAATTATCACAATAGTGATAAAAAAAGGCCATACTTTTCAAGTGTTAGACCAGTAATGGAACATGCAATGGATTATGAATCAAATCCAAAACGACCAAACTTTGGCTTTTTGGGTGGTTTGTATGAATTAAACAACGGGGAATACAAACCGTATGGTAGTGGAGGAAATTCACTGGGATATGTTTACAGCCCGAAATATCCGCATCAAAAGCCATCTCTGGATGAAGAATATCGTCCACTTGGAGAACTTATCGCATCGTATGTAACCGAAATTCGAGACGGTAAGATTTCAATATTTTTATTTAAACGAATTTCGTTGGATTCTTATCTAAATATTTAGACTTTTTTATGATGATTGATGACTTTTTATGTTTGATGAATCACTACTCGAGGTTAACTCACACTTTTTATAGCCAATACAAAGTGTAATTAGCGGTCGAACGCTGCATGAACGGTAGCTTTAGTAAATTATTCACTCGGTTACATCACGCAGCATGCAAATTCACCGGAATCTGATCGTTTTAATTGAGGTCACTGAAGGCTGTGCACAGTAACAACAATGACCATCCATTGGAATCTTCTATTGAAATTGATTTATTAGGTATTACTCATTTAAAACAACATTTCCTTAATTTTAATTTTCGCTATTAAGAGTTTTAAGCATTTCTTAAAGTTTTATAATTTAATCTGAAAGCTTTAAGAAGTACATATAAAACTTTATTTTTATTTGATTGGAATTACATAAAGAAGTATTATTCAACCCTATCCAAGTCTCGCTTCATCATTACGCAGCAGAATGGAACAAAAAGGCGCAGTTAAAATATTTTTACTATGAATGCTATAGAAAAGGGTTTGAATTGAAATGAATACTCATTTAGATATTCTAGTTTAATTAATTTTAGGTTAAAAATAATTGATTCAGATTGAAGAAGGGTTTGGATCAAATGGATTAGGTTAACTGATTGAATCCAATTCAAGTTTTGAAATACCACCATACTTCGTTGAATTATTTTAAAATTTAATGTGTAAAACTAAAATTTGCATTAAAGCTGCACCCTAAACAGAGAATCGGTAGATTGATCTCTTAATAAAACTTTTTTATTTGGTGGGAACAAAAAACTAAAGCAATATTAATAATATAGAAAATTTTCTGCTCTACAGGCATTGAAATTTGATCATTTTGAGGTGTATTTGATACACGGCGATGTTCTTGATTTTTATCCGCTGTTGATATCATATATCATATATATTGATAGGATAACCGGTGGTTCATCAGGCTTTCTTGTGGTGTATTTAATATTCCGCTATCTGTAAAGACAGCGAAGATATCGGCTTGTAAAGTAGGTAGAAAAACAAGTAAAGCAGGTAGTAAGGTTGGCCTTTATAACAAAGACAGATTGTGTGTCCAGCACATCTTTCCCAAATTACCCTCTGATCTTCAAGAAGATCAGAAAAGATAGCTTTAGATCCCCAGCGGGAAAGCGTTTCACTTTGGATGTTTACAGATTGCATAAGATTTGATTTAATAGACTTCAGTATGGCAATGAGATCATGGACAACAATGTTATTTCGCTTCTCTGATTCAAATCTTTCAAAAATTGCGAATAGATGACATTATGATGGTATTCGGTAACTATCCAGCATTTTACCAATTACTTAGTACTCGACCATTCACAGGAATAAGTATCTCCTTTAGGTTTTGGACACTGCAGATAATAATCAAGTTCAACCCAAATAGGACTTTTTTCATTGTATACAACTTTATTTATATCAGGTTTGTCATTAGCAACCTCATTGCAACAATGCCAATACGATATAAATATAAAAACTCTTGTTGTAGTTTCGTCTAGTTTTCTTCTCTTCGCTTGTAATTCATCATCACATTCATTACTAACAGAACTGTCGCTGTTATCACTTTCGATTATTAATTAAAGTATTCTCTTTTTAATGCAAAAAGCCGTTTTGAAAAATCACTTTCAGTTCTTGAGAAATAAATTTTTGAAATGATCGACAATTTTTTCGAATTTTGCAATTTTCGCCGATTAAGTTTTAAAAATTCGTATAAAATCCATTTCTTGGAATATGAGTATGAAAATTTCCCAAAGTGTTAATAAAAGTGTCCTCTTTCCAATGAACCAACCCGTTTTGAAAAATAACTTTTAGTTTTTGAGAAAACAATATTTGAAGTTTTGATAAAATTTTCGATGTTGCAATTTTCATCGATAACTTTCAAAATTCGCTATAAAATTTATTTTTTGAAGGATCTTTGTGGAAATATCGCCAATTATTTATTAAAGTATCCTCTTTTTAGAGTTGCTTTGGTAGTTAAATCAGCATCAAAAAAGTTCATTTTGTACCTTGGATCCAAATAAGTTAACATATCTTATCAGCTTTCTTATTAATTTCATTTTTATTCAAATATCGTAATAATGTGGTAATATAGAGTATCACTTCAGAAATCCACCAGAAATTATAACCATAACGGCCGGATAGATATGCCGGATAATCGGATATCCGGTCGAAGGGGATGCCGAATATTCGGTATATGGGCTTTTCTCAAAATCACTATTCGTTCCATCACTAGTGTTCGGTATAAATATTTGAGTGTTTTTTTATTTGTGTTTTGCGACTCCCTCTTCTCACCTACAAAAGACTTAAGTGTGATAAATTTGATAACAACTTTTCTTTCTTTTTAAAATCTTTTTCTCTATTGCTTTCTAGTACCCATTGTTACTCAATAACGAATTAAAGATGAACGATAATCACAAAGTCTGATGAAACAGAAATGATTCGATAATTCAGTACATTTTGAAACACATTACTGACAGCTGCCAATAAGATGCTTTAAATACTATTGAGATATAATAGGCATGCTTTTTTACACAATGTTTTATTAATAATGTAATAAGATACAATAATGGACAAATTTATTTTTAAGTATATTCTCTAATATATCACAGCACCGAACAATAATGTTAAAACAATAACCAAGATATGTATTAAAAATGCAGTAAATGAAGGTAATAAAGTATTATGTATAACATGAAAAAAAATAAGTTAGTAATAATTGTTTAAATAAAGTTACGCCCACTGAACTTACTAAAAAGCGGTAAAATCCTTGAAGGTCGTCTTTAACACGACTAGAATTGACCAATTACTATGGCGGTATGACTCGCCTTCACAAAAAGAACCAACTTTTTTGCTTCCGCCAATCTTCTATCATTACTATATGAAAAATGCGGCATAAATCGGTTTTGAGATGACCGATTCATAACGGAGATTCGTAAACACAAATAATTGCGATTTCCTGTTTAACCACTCATTCATACAAAGAAGTTTTTTGCTTTTTCATAAACTGATTAAAATTAAAAAATCATCGGCTACTTGAAAACAAGGTTGCATTAAACATCGCTTGAATTTAATTCCGGCTATTATAAGTGATGATAGAAAACAGGATAATATAGATTCTCGGTAAAGATAATCTACCTTCCTCCTCGAAGTGGTTATATAACGTCAGAATTACAAATTACACGCGTTTCGACCACAATAACTCTTGAAAACAAATGGAACAAGTTCACAATTGAATATAATAGTTACGCATTGAACGCACCGAGTTCTTTTTGTAATGGATTTAGGACCTATTGAATCATTTGATGACCCTATTTCGACACGATCGGAACATGTATTCGATTGATTCCCACAAATTAAAAACTGGGTTATTTCGGGTGTGTAAAAAAGATTCTTCATCCCATCTATGTTTTCCCCCCGATTAGATTCTCATTTAAAATGAGGAAGGGGAAAAGGAATCATTCGCATCGTTATCCTTGACAAAAAAATGCATATATTCGCGCCCAATCCTTCTTTTCCATGTTAGTTGTAGCTCGAACTCGGTTGGTGACGTACAGAAAAGCTTATTCTTTTGTATAAAACGATCTGATAAAGCGAGCGAGGTGTTTGTTACGTGACAAGGACGTCGTCGGGGGGTTAGGAAATTTTGCGAGCTTTCGCAACGGCTCTTCTTGTATGTTAATTAGCAATTACCTCTTGTTTATCACGGTCAAAGTAGTAGCCGGATCGGATCTCAATACGAAATATCCGTCAGTATTTCAGCCTCAGAATACGTGATCGTTTGATTTAAACGTTTCAGTGAACGACGATGCTTTTTTAAGTTAATTATTTAATTTAGATGAATTATTTTAACGATGACAAAAAATCGTGATTATTTTGCGACTATGAAAACCGTTTGTTGGGTTTGTGTGATATTTTTGGTGTTCATTCTTCCACTGCCGTTGTGTTCTGCTACAAGAGTCATTATTGTTGAAGATGCAAAAGGTATTAATTTAATTACAACTTAATATTAATTAATAATATCGAAATTGCATAACTTTTTTAAGCCGGTTACGTCAATTTTTATCATTACTCACTTGAAATTTAATTTATAATTGCCCAACCGTTTGAAAACAATAGCGAAGCCAAGTTTACGACCTTAGATGCTTGATAAAACACTTTAAGTGCGAACTTTATTTGTCTTGAGTTTGGTTATGAGAAAGGATAAGCCGTAACCTTCCTAAAGGATATTCAAATTATATTATTTCATAATACACGAAATAAATAAATACGAAATGTTTGTTTTGATTAACAAGATTTAAGCTGTAACAAGGATGTTTATGCAACATCACAATGAAGAGTCTGTTGATGATGATAACTTTGAAATCACATAAATTTATTTCCATTGTAAATTTCTTATATCCAAATTTTCTTATAGTGTGTTTTAAAAGAGCTCTAGCTGGCAAAAGAATATCAAGAGCTTTCGTCCGTAAAATAGTATCCTGTGAAAGAGTAGAAGATTGTCACCAAGAATGTACAGAAGAGAAAAAATTTATTTGCGAAGGTTTCAATTATAGGTGAGAACACCATCAAATACTATTCAAACCAATTATTTTCACATATACATTTATCCACAGTCACCAAATGCACACAAGACCATTTGTCACAGACCTTGCACAAGATAATTGTGCCAAGGTAACCCCATTTTTACCATAACGATTTTAAGGTCGTTTATTATTATTTCGAATGCAGTTATTTCTATGGTTGCTGATCTATTTATTTTTGATTGTACGTTTAGGTTGGATTCTTCCGGACGTGGTAGAGGAGACTGCGAGCTTATAGACTTACCTTTCGTCCTTTTGGACCCTCACAAAGACATAATAACAAATCCGAATTATGATTATTATGAAAAAGACAGAAATAGTTACCAGAGATGCAAAGATCGTGATATACAACCATTCAAACCTCCACAAAGTTATCCTCAGCTACCTCCATCTGGTGGGATTCAATTTGATCAAGGATCTTATGGACATGGAACTTATGGACACGGAACTTATGGACAAGGATCTTATGGTCAACAATCTTATGGACAAGGATCTTATGGCCATGGATCTTATGGTGGAGGAAATAAAGGAACACATCGATACGATAGTTATCCACGAGAACCTCCAAGACCAGGTTTTGTATTCAGGTTGCCATCGGGCGGGGAAGGAGGAGATTTTCCACCTTATAATAGACGTAGTGGTGAGTACCGATATTGCCCTCCGTTCCTCAAGAAAAAGTAGTTTTTTAGTTATTGTACTTCTTGCTAATTTTTGTACTTGTCGCACAATAAAGGTGGATTTTAATACACTGGTGGTTTTATTGCTTTATTATTTAATTTATATGTTCCTTACACGTTCACTTACTTTTAATTCATCATTTTCATTTAATCAATCATATTAGACGCTTCAATAAAAATAAAATATGCATAAACCAATATAGTCCAGTCAATTTATAAATTATTTATAACAAAACAAATTTAATACGGACAAAATGCTATGTTATAGTATTTAATTTATTCCTCCCGATTTTTTTTTCAATTATTTCTAATAATAAAATAGTTTCTATAAACCTTTAAGTGATGGGTAGTCTAATTAAACTTAAACTAGAACTAACACTAGCACTACACTTACAATTTTCGAATTAAGCCGTGCGTCTTTTGAGAAAGTGTTTGACGTTTCGGATGCCATGTTGTAACCAATTAACACTAATTAATTGTTTCTAATTGTCAACTAAGTTGTTTTTGTCAAAACCGATAGGAGAAGTTTTCCATAATCTGCTGACTTCCCAGCCATCTTCTGTATTCATGATATTCCCATGTGGATGAGTCTTTATCAACTTTCTTATCATTCTCTGAAAATAATGTCCGGTTCTTGCTAGCAATTTAGTTTTGTCAAACTCTATGGTGTGTCCTCCATTGTGGCAATGATCTCCGACTGCCGACTGTTGGATTTTTTCCGTCGGACATCTTTCTCATGTTCCTTGATGCACCACTCGATGTAATAACTAAACGTAATACTTCCCGCAACTGCATGATAGCCGATAGACACCCGCTCCCTTTAATGGGGTTAGTTTATCTTTAGCAGTCGGAAGAGCATTCTATATTTTGCTGACCGTACCGTATCGTACCACGATATCATTCTTCTTCAGGCACCTCATAATCTGCTTCCTCACACCTGAAACATAAGAAAGGCAGATAAAATCAGCTGGTGTAGTACTTACCGAGTCTTCCCTGTGTTTGCTTGATTTAGTCGCTCGATGAATATCCCTCAATATCACTTTAGAGATGAAGTCTGCATGTGTCATTTGCAGATAGCAACATGTACCTGCATTCTTCATCCCATCACCACCCACAACAAAAAAGGGCAGTGATCCAGGCGTTGTTCTAGTGAGCAGAAAGGCAGTATTAATTGATTACTTATTATCTTTTCATGTATTTGATGTAAAACTTTAACCGATTTCGTCACTTCAAACTTGTTTCTGAAGAAAGTTGCAACATAGCATCCGAACCGTTAAACATATTTTCAAAAGATGACACGGCTTAACCCGAAAGTTTCTATTTCTAGGTCTAGTGTTAGTTCTAGAGATAGTGTTAGTGTCAATTCTAGTTTTAGTTTAATTAACACCGGCCGTGAAAGCTTTCGTACTTAGATGGGTAGCCTAACATTCATTTTTAATTTGTAATGTTTATGCCACTAATTAAGAATCTTGTATGCATCTTATTAGCTACACCAGGTGGACAAGACATTTTTATCGAGTTGCATTATTTGTTGCTACCATGATAAATCTTTTTTTGATAAAACTTCGATGTAGGAATCTTAGGTCATTGATCCCTTCGTTTCGTTTGGCCTTTTTGTTTCTGTTTTGCTTCTTTAGGCGTCATCGATATTTATCACAAGAGCTATGCTTTTTTATTAGCTATTACACATAGCCACATCAATACTTCTTTACATCGAGTTGCTTTATACGTTGCTACCATGGCAAACATTCTATTGGAACTCTTATGCAATGTATAAAGTAAGCCTTATACAATTTAATAATTGTGCGATTTAATTTAGTTAAAAAATTTCAGTTGAATTCTGATTGGGTGGTCACCAGATCTCTTTCATGCTTTCTTGTAAGGTTCTTCAAGCTTCTTCTATATTTGTCACATGAGTCATGCCTACATGTTATTAGCTACTATATATGACCAAGGCATCAAGACTTTTTAACATCGACTTGCTTTTATACTTTGATGCAATGTGTTCTTATTGCACACTCGAATGGTTGGACGAATTAATTTGGTTATAGGCTTTCGACTCAATGCTGATTGGTTGATCCCAAGATGTGATCATTTGATTTTTTGCGATTCGATCATGGAATCTTTAATATTGTTTCTTTTTCACACTTTTTTGTAAGTTTCTTCAAGCTGTCGCTTTACGTCACTATTGTATCGATTCAACACTTTTTCGAGAGTATGTTGTTGTGGTTCTTTGTATTGCTTTGTTTTTCTGGGTGATAATTTTTTTAAACATCTCTTTAATAACTTTTGATATTAATCGGTTTAAGATTTTGATTAAGATACTCTTTTTAGTCGTTCGTTTGTGTTGGACTTCTATGGCCAACCTTGTTATTTTATTTAAGAATTTTTCAATAAATATTTTTGTCTGATCTCTGTTTAAGTATTATTGTGTTCCTTGGACTTACTTTGCTTCTCTTGTTGGTGTTGGGATTGGATAGACTGTTTCCAACAACTGTGTCCTTTTTTCCTTGTCTCATTTCAGTATTTCTTGAAGTCTTTATTTTTTGGCTAGTATAAAGCCAAAATATTTTACGATTTCTTTCTATTCTGTTTCGTTTCAGAGTAAATTTTATAGAGTTCGTCGTATTGCATCTGTGTTTATTCATTGAGTTTTATGCTCCATCTTCTCATATAGTAGTGTGTCTGTTCCTACAAGTCATTTAGTATAGTATCATTCATCAAGTATCATCAGACCAGGATGCCATACCTTGTGGAAATCTTATTCCAGTAATTGTGTTTACTTCTGAATCTGAATTGCTGCTCGGAGCTCAATTTCTGTGGTTATATATATNACTTTTAATCTTCTGTAAAGATTAATAAAAGATTTGGCTTTGTGTTCCTTTATGTACTTGGCTTTTTACGCTTCCATTTTTTTACCCTTAGGAAGGAATAAGTTATTCCGAAAGTTTGGTTACAAGAATAAGAATATAAACAACGTTGTTTTAATTTCCCTTTCTTTGGTCGATTCGCCAAGAATATCTACATTTCCTATATTGAATGACCGGGATTTCTTTCTACTTATGTCAATGGTTTCGTTAAGTATTTTTGCTTATAAATGTAAAAGGCTTGTTAATATGTAGCTTGAGGCATTGTAAATAAAATTATCATGATTTCTGCATTTATCCAACGTTTCGGCTAATACACGGTTTTATAAACTGCTTTAGTCATGGCAGTAATTCTTCGATTACATATTCGGATTGATTTTTAGCATCCATTTTTTCCTGGTCCTTTGTGATTTTTTATCGTTTTAATTGTCGCTTTGATTTCTTCTGCAGTGACTTCCTCTATGTTTTTATCATTATGGTCAATGNTTTTTCCTGGTCCTTTGTGATTTTTTATCGTTTTATTGTCGCTTTGATTTCTTATGCAGTGACTTTCTCTATGTTTTTGCCATTATGGTCAATGGTACTCTCTACTTCTCTAATTACTTCTGCATGTAATATGCATCGGGATGTAAATGAAATTAAAGGTCCAGTACCTTCCAAAATGATTCAGTTTTTCTTCTTCAATTACAGTGATGACTTAAGATTTTCATAAACAGTGGTTTTCTTTCAACTCTTTGTCCTGGTGATGTTTTTGCCATTTCCCCATCTAATTTGTCTTCCCTCTGAGTAGGTAACTCACGTTCACGTTATTATGGACTGTTTGGATTCTTTTCTGGTAACTCACTGTGTAGCATTCTCCTTACAACCACAGCCAGCCTTGCCTTTCATCTTTTTTGTAGTCAGTAAATTATGTAGTTTTGGACGTTTAAATGTCCATAAATGTTGTTAGTCCGGGAATAAAGAAAAGAAATTTTTTGCGTTCCACTATGAGAGTTTTTTCTAAAGTATTAGTTTAAACATTAAATCTTACCTTTGCAGTAATTGCATTTTTCATTTACCTCAGTGCTTAGAGTTATCTTTAGGCTCCCTAATCTACGTGAGCTTGTAAGTATACCTTCTAGAGTTTAGCTTTATTGATATTTGAAACATCTTTTATCTGCAAAACTTTTTGTGTGTTAATAGCCTAACATATACAATAAAACACATATTTTGGCACATATTGACTGGACTAGTAAATCATCTTTAAAAATCGTAGTATTATCTCATCTCATTACACATAAAGAAATTAATTTGATCATCAAAAAGATATTAATTAATATTTTAGACCCATATCCAAACGGAGATAAACACCACACATACACACACCCTCACATTGATAATGATTATAAATCGTACCTTCCACCACCAAATACGTTAGATATTAATAAATACCACAATAAATACGATGGTCGTGGCGAGTCTGGTTACGATTATAATAGTTATGGTCGAGGTAAACCACATCCCGCGGTTGTTCATTACGGTATCGATGATAAACAACATCCGGTACCCACTAATTATTTACCGATACCTTTCGATGGAAATAAAAAACATTGGAGTGAATATGGTGGGGGAAATTATAGAAGTGGTGGTTATGGAAGTGGAACATTTGGAAGTGGTGGTTTCAGTAATGGAAGATTTGGTAATAACGGAGTTTCTGGAAGTGGTTATCTTCCACCTAAATCTCCAACAAGTGATTATTTACCTCCGGTTCTGCCAACAGTTAAACATTATGAATACCCATCCCATACAAATGGTAATATGACTAAAACAGTATTCATAAACAATTTTTAAACATTGGATTTCTTAATATTGTTATAGAATGTTCATTAAGATCGGCAACAGGTTACCGCCTCTACAAAAAAATTGTTAAAAAAATTTTAACCGTTTCATCAATATATGATTGTGAGGAGGCTTGTTTTCATGAAACCGATTTTATTTGTACATCGTATGCTTTTCGATATATCGTCGGTTCTGGAATTCCACCAAATAATTGTTACCTTAGCGATCGTAATTATAAGGAGTTAGATTATTACACCGATTTAGAACAAGATAGAAATTTCGATATTTACACTATGCATAATAAAGATAGATGCTCTGGATCAGTACCTCTTAATAAAATATCAAATGGTAATATTTGTTTAAATTTAACTAGTTAAATGTATCAATTTTAATTTTAGAATGTTTTCTTCATGTTCGAAGTGGGCAAAGATTGGACGACACTTGCGTTAGAGATTCATTGTTTGTAAAATCCTTTTTAGATTGCCAATTGGAATGTTTAAAATCAGAAAGATTTTTGTGTAGATCTTTCAGTTATCGGTTAGTATCAGACTTATAATTAATAATAAATAATATTGTTGTTATGATTTTTTCTTTTCTAGTTCTGGTTCTGCTGTTATAGGTGGAATAAGTGAAAACTGCCAATTATCAGATGTTCCATTTAGAGAATTAAATCCTCACAGAGATTTGATTTCAGACCCCGGTTTTGTACTTTACGAACGAGCGAGTTATGGATATGGTTGTGAACTGGACCACGTTAATGATCAATCTTTGTTTACTCAACCCAGTGTTGTTTCTGAATCGGATAAACGTAATCAAATCAAATTTTAAAAACAATAAATTAAGTATATAAAATTTTAGTTTGTTATATTGGTTATGGGTGGTCGGCAAAGTTACTTCCTTCTGCCGTTCGAAAAGCACTTCGAGTACCTACCGAAGAAGAATGCCGAGCGGAATGCACAAAATTTCGAATGGAAACTTCATTTTGTTGCATGTCTTTCAGTTATAGTTCAGCACTTCAAAATGGGCTGAATTGTCTCTTATCCGATATAGTTCAAAGAGATCTTTTAGAAACCGTTGATTTTGAGAAAGATAGAGATTTTTGGTTGTTTTCTTGGGATACGTCAAATCCTCAATGTCAATTTTCGGAGTATTATGAGCAAAGCGGTAAAGATCGAAATGGTATAAACACGATACTTCAATTTCTTATAAATTAACTATATCTTTACCATTTTTAGAGATATCATTAGGAGGAATCACCTGGAGAATTTATAGCGTTGGTGGTTGGCCATGTAAAAGAGGAACTTTATGCAAAGAAAGCGCACTGGGATTTTGGTTCTGCGAATTAGAAGGTGGAAGTCCAAGTTCTTGGGATTATTGTTGTAGGCCAGGTCATCAATGTGGTTACTCAGAAGGATATGCTTACCAATGGTAGTCTATTTAATATCATTCATATTTATACGTTATTTGAAATTACTTTTGAAAATTTTAGGTGTTACGTAGGACCTTCTTTTACGCAATGGAGAAAATGTAATGATAAATATTACCCTTATTTACCACCTTTACACGTTCGAACTCCTCTTCCATCAAAACCCCCCACAACATATCTCCCGCCAAAAGATTTTCCATCAACTCCAATTTTATTAGATCACGATACAAAACCGCCAACTATCTCAACAACAATTTACCACATACCACCAACGACTTCTATAATAGATCCGCATGTCCCAACTCCAACACTTTTCTTAGAAGAACCAAAGAAATCGTATTTGCCCCCATCGCATAGAGAATCAAGACCATGGCAAACATCAGGAAAACCTTTACTATCAGATTTAAGACCTCCTTATAGGGTAGGATTTAGACCAGATCGTCCTAACGCAACACCACTAGAACCAGAACCCAAACCAAGTTTGAACGAGTACGAAAATCATTTTAACGACTTATTTTTGGATCCACCAAAACCAGGCGGATTCGGACAAGCCAGACATTGGCCCGTTTCTTATTTACATAAAGAAGGACCGCCTAACGCTACAATTTCGATTGATAATAATTTTTCTTTGGGACGGATGAAAGAAGCTAGGGAAAGTAAGTTAGAACCGAAATTCGAAGCGATCAAAAATTTGATTGATGTGATCAAAACGAATGATTTGGAAAATGTTAAATATCAAATTACGAATGATTCAAATAAAGTTGACGATGTTCTTCACGTTCAAATTCCATTACCTTCGAATTTTACTGATATTTTGGAAAACGGCAAAGGTGGTGAACTAATTGGAGATAACAATGAAAAGTTATTGTCACCTAAAAATAGCACATCGAATGATAGGAAAATAACTGAGAATTTACCGGTTTATCGAAGAAGTTACATAATGAAAACAAGTAAAACAGATGCACGAAAATGGAAATTTCCAGATAATCAATTCGGTTCTATTAGATAATCATTAAGATAACATTATTACAACATCTAATATAAGCAGTATTACCAAGATAGGAACGTTTCAATTACCTCTACATCTAATCTATTTATAAGAAGATTAAATTTTATCATGTTGATGCTTACAAATATTATTTTATACGTTAATTAAACGCTTGTTTTTTAGCTTTTATACATGCTTTATTTGCGTTAAAACCTATTCAACAAACCATACACGATAAGTAATCATTTTTTCTAAGAGTGAATACATGATGCGGAAATAATCCATCGATTTTTTTGCCATGGCACTTAAATTGCAACAAAAACATATAACAAAATATAAATCTTAATACAAATAACTATTAATACAAGATATGATTGCGAAAACATTTGTTAGCTTAGATAGCGGTTAATTAGGAGTGTGTTAGCTCTTAAAACTACAAAAAATTCAAATATTAGTTAAAAATTAATTCATATTCTAAAAAATAATTGACCCAACAAATTTATAAATTTATGAATACTTAATAAAAGAAATTACAAATAGTTTTGATTAAATTCATTGAATATTAATACATATACAAAAATTAATTAATTGTTAATGTGTAGCACCTTTAAATGGATACATAAATCATTTTAAATCTAAAATTAAATTTATCTTAAATATTATAACCTTGAAGTCTAAAAAAAATGTCTTTGTTCCAAGGCATGTCTCAAGGCCACTTATTTTTATTATTAAACTTCACTATATTCGTCTAAAAAATAGTTCAAAACACAACAATCCCCAAAAATGGTCCCTTCAAATTACACTAACAACTAAAAAAAAATCGATGATTTGTACTTTTTATCTTTGATGTAATGCCACGACGTTGCACCCTTAGAATAACTTAATTATTCTTTTGTAAGTTCAAAGTTTAACATTTTTATTTACTCGCTGGTTTCAATAGAATCACATAGCTTTCATTTTCTTGTAACACGTCCAAATTGAACATCGATTCCTCTTTGAAGCGACTAATAACGTCATTGCTCAATAAAATATGAATCGCCTGAGGTCCTTGTACGTAAACGTTACGTATCTTATCGGCACCAACTCCAAGCATCCCCGCAAGTTTTTGAATAAGCTCGTTACTGCTATAGTTTGATAAGAAAACGGCATTGAATATTTTTGTGTGTTCGAGAGAGACGTAAATAGTTAATTTTGGTGCTATAGCCCTATAAAAATAATTTTATTTGTAGTAACAATCATAATTAAAAAAAATTTTTATTTACTTGACATGAAGTGCGTTGTACAAACGGATTCCATCAGCTTGTCCGCATATTTGAATTAGATCTTCACGAGACATACGCAACATATCAGCACCGGAAAAACTGGAGAAGATGTTGATGTACTTATCGAAACGATTTGTTGTTAACCAACGTAATGTTTGTTCTGGTGTGGATACGTCGAGTAGAAAATCAGAAGATTTCTAGAAAAAGTATTTTATCTTATCACCTTTTCTAAATGAAGACAAAGTCAAATTATATTAAAAATCAAAAAATAAACACTTAAACTTTAACAACCTATACAACCATCTTTTTATTAGAAATCGTAAATAAAACATAAATTTCAATCAAGTAGTAACATTGTATAATGGTAAATCGACCGGTTCGTACCAACGACGAAGGTTCATTCATTATTTATAAGATTATTTTCATTTTTGCTTTGGGACACGTGTAAATTCTTTATGTAAAAAAATGTATTAAAAGAGAAACTTACGCTGTCGTCAACAACAGGAACAGGCGGTGGCGAAGGATCGTTTATGACGTTGTTGGTTACTTTCGGAGACGGTGGCGATGGCGGTGCGATTATTTCGTTCTTGGGAGAATTCTCAATTGGTAGAATATATGGTTTTGCCGGTGGTGAACTGTAATTGTTTAAAAGATAATAATAATAAGCTATGAATAATTATTAAACGATCGTAAACAATATCAAATTAAATGTTAGTTCCGGTTAATGGATAAAAAAGGAATGTAGAAAAAATGATTTGTATTTATAAAAACTGCGCTGTATTCATACATATATGAAGTTTATTTTTTTCCTGCTATAGGTACTACGTGTTTTGTTATTTTTAGAATTAATTAAAATACTTCATAGCGTTTTCTGTTGCAACGATAATCAAACAATGGCTCGCGAACATGTGGCTCATCTAAAGTTTTGTTATTTCTAAACTAATAAAAAGTATGTTTTTTTTTTAAGTTCTGACTCTCTTAGGCCCACTTTTACCAATTTCCTAATAAACTATCTAGGGGATAGTTAAGTACTATAGTTACAACGCTTTTAATAAGCTCTCCCATTGGCTAAGAACTGGATTTATCTATGGGATAAATTTAGCAAGAGGTGGTGAAGTGAGGTTAAGAAGTTTGGTGAGCGTTAAGCATATCGATCGGAACCAGTTAAGTACTATCCTATTCAAATGTACCATCATTTGGTTATCTATCCTGAACATTTCATAATTAAATTTGCAGTAATGAGGAAGTTATAACGTTTTGTAACTGACGACTTTGTGTCGAAAAGAAATTGAACGGATAGTGATTTTGCGAAAAGCCGAATACCGGATATTCGGCATCCCCTTCGGCTGGATATCCGGTTATCCGGCGTATCTATCCGGCCATTATGATTATAAGTTCTGAAGTGATACCCTACATTGCCACATTATTGCGATATTTGAATAAAAATGAAATTAATAAGAAAGCTGATAAGATATGTCAATTTATTTGGATCCAAGATACAAAATGAACTTGTTTGATACTGAACTCACGAAGTAACTCTAAAAAGGGGATACTTTAATTAATAATTGGTGATATTTCCACAAGGATCCTTCAAGACATAAATTTTATAGCGAATTTTGAAAGTTATCGATGAAAATTACAACATCGAAAATTTTATCAAAACTTCAAATATTGTTTTCTCAAAAACTAAAAGCTATTATTCAAAACGGGTTGGTTAATTGGAAAGAAGACACTTTTATCAACACGTTGGGAAACTTTCATACTCATATTCCAAGAACTGGATTTTATACGAATTTTTAAAACTTAATCGGCGAAAATTGCAAAATTCGAAAAAATTGTCGATCATTTCAAAAATGTATTTCTCAAGAACTGGAAGTGATTTTTCAAAACGGTTCTTTGCATTAAAAAGAGGATACTTTAATTAATAATTGGTGATATTTCCACAAGGATCCTTCAAGAAATTAATTTTATAGCGAATTTTGAAAATTATCGATGAAAATTGCAACATCGAAAATTTTATCAAAACTTCAAATATTGTTTTCTCAAAAACTAAAAGTTATTTTTCAAAACGTGTTGGTTCATTGGAAAGAGGACACTCTTATTAACACTTTGGAAAATTTTCATGCTCATATTCCAAGAACTGGATTTTATACGAATTTTTAAGACTTAATCGGCAAAAATTGCAAAATTAGAAAAAATTGTCGATCATTTCAAAAATTTATTTCTCAAGAACTAAAAGTTATTTTTCAAAACGGCTTGTTGCATTAAAAAGAGGATACTTCAATTAATAATCGAAAGTGATAACAGCGACAGTTCTGTTAATAATGAATGTGATGATGAATTATAAGCGAAGAGAAGAAAACTAGACGAAATTGCAACAAGAGATTTTATATATCTTATTGGGATTGTTACAATGAGGTTGCTAATGACAAACCTGACATAAATAAATTTGTATTCAATGATAAAAAGTGCTATTGGGGTTGAACTTGATTATTATCTGCCGTGTCCAACACCTAAAAGAGATACTAATTCCTGTGAATGGTGGAGTACTAGTTGTAAGTAATATGTTTTTAATATTCGGCCAAGCCGGATATTTGGTAACTATCCGGTACCCAGCCGGATTTTAAAAAATGGCCGGGTAGGCCGGATACCGGATAGTTGCCGTATATCCGTTCCACCACTAGGTCTGACTATTAATCACGTCATCTGGAAAATAGTACCAAAAGAAATGCACCCTGGCCTTTTTAGTCAAAATTGCTACAAATATCGGTGCATGTATTTTCCAAAGAATACAAATATTGGAAATTGAAACAGAGGAAATGTAAAGCATTAGGTTTGCAAAGCGCGCAGCGACAAGGATATCAAAGGAAAGTAAGATTAAGCTTGATAAAGCAAAAAATGATGGAAGCGTCAATATGTACAGAAAATCAGTTAGATATATGGTTAAGGAATCGATGATTCCATCAAAGTATTGTCAAATACACTCGAAACTCTAAACATAAACACATTTTGCTTAAAATGTGCGTTTTCAAAATCAGTGCCAGAAATACCTGTCATAGTGTTTTTTTTTTTCATAATAAGTACTGAACAATTTTGACACGAAGTGCCTAATTTATTATCAAGTGGCTCTACAAGCACTAATTTATGAATCGACATTAAGAAACAAATCTTTTTTAGCCGTCGATTTAACCATTAAATGGTACACCATTTTTATATTTACAAAATAGAAAAAATATTTCACTTCACCGTAAATTCAGTTGGTACACTTGAGTTGCATTGGTAACGTTTGTAGTTTTCAAAATTGTGATTGTCTTTTTTATTGTAATTTCATATTAATTTGAGACGATAGGCGATAAAAGAGTATAAGAAACTATAAGAGTATAACAAAAGGCAACAACAACACTACTGAGCAAGATAAATGTATAGCATATGTATAATTTATATACAAGTTTTGTGAATCATTGAATCCAGATGCATTTGAAAAAAGAAGAACAACTAAGAGCCTGTTCCTAATTACTACGTAAGAAACTTTTCTTAGATAATAGTGTCAGTTTTGATGCTTGCTGATTATAAACTATCTATATTTCCAGTGTTAGTGAAATCATTCACAACTCTGTAAAAGGTACTTCTCGAAGGTGTATTTCGATCAGGCAAATGTTCTCGATACAAAGCTATACTATCAGCAACTTTTCTGCCATTTTCTCCATAAATAAAAATCATTTCGACTTTTTCCGCCACACTTAGAGTATTAATGATTTAATGACTTAGTTTAAACACTTTGCCTTAATGTAAAACGATGGAATTAATCAGAATTTATTGCCAAGCAGTTTTTATGCAAATTTAGTTACCTGTTACATTTTAAAACAATTCAACCAATTAAGTCTCTGAAAGCGATATTCTGAAAATGCCGACATAAGCAGTTCCACGAACTCTTGTTTTTTATGCGTTATTTTATTATCAAATTGACAAAGGCGAAGAAATGTCGGAACCTTTTAGACCTCTTTCCGAAGGTATTTCCGACGAGCCAGGTCACCCGATGTACTTAAATACTATTCTAAGAATTAAGAACTAAAGACAATGTATCGAAGCGGATAGGAAAATGTCTAAAAATTCATAAACGTTACATTTTAAGAGTATACATTTTTAGCTTTCTTTCTAATGGTTGAAATATAAAAGAAGTTTACTAATTTAGATGAAGAGTATGAAGATGCTCACATTGTTTGTCAATCACGATATTAGATTGGACTTGATTGATTTGTTGTTCATAATTATAATATTGCGTCAAACAAACACGGGCAGTCACGATTTGAATTTAAATGATTCCGGAGAAATTATATAAGAAATAAAAATCTTGAATTTGTTGTTTTGTATTAATAAAGTTTAACAAATAATTAAGTAGACGTTTAATATCCAGTATTAAAATCCAGCTTTGTTGGTTATTAACCAAAATAAAATAATTTGAATCTATATGTATAGATAATAATATAGTAATTCTTCAGTTGGTGTCGCTTTTCGAACAATTAGATGCACTTTTATGGTTTTTACAAACATTCTCCAATTTGTTAATGAATCAACATAAATTTAAAACAAATAAGAATTGTTTCCACTTCATTAATAAAGTAAATTTATCACGTTTTGCAGAATAGTAAATCATGGAAACTTCAAGTATGTTAAATAGTTTGTACACTTTCATATTCATTTTCATACAAAGGCATTTAAAAATTAAATCACCTGATAACACATACATATGTATCGCTCTGACGTGATGTTTGATGTGAGCTGAGTTCCTCTTCATAATTGCTTTCACGGTGGGAGCGTGAAGCCTACACAAGTTGGCCTTCTGCCGGTTCTGTCTAAGATTGGGGTGTAGACGAAGGCTGAGTCTTCGACCGACCAATTGTGCATCCTCGACCCTTGCGAGATTTCTGCTTAGCGTATGTATAAATTGCGCTTGCAGAACATACTCGCACTCGGTGATGGTCATAGTATGGATCAGTAGGAACATCCCGTAAGGAGGGTGTCTTGAACTTCGAGGTCCAGTTTCAGTGTACGTTTCAGATAAGGGCCATGCAGTTCCTGCCGTGACAGAAGTAGATTTTCTCCAAGCTGGATTTTCTCTTTACTGCCTGCGCGCTACCGCTTATTACACTTTTGTCATCTGATGTAGAGGAGAAGTAGTACGAAGACCGGCAAGAAGGTGTGCTTAGAGACCTTCTCATCAATTTTACGGGAGCTGCTGTCGGCTGCGGCTTGCAGAACTTTTCCGTGCACCATTCCTGACGATGACGAGCCTTGCTTCCGCGCGGTAATTTAAAAAACACCATATGAAAAACTAGAGCCACTTATTCAATGAGTCAGACTGGTAACTTCCAAATAAAAAGAAAAACTATTTCGAAACAAAAACGTTTGGCGATTTATATACTACGCACACAATCGCACGTCTTAATTTAATAGTCGCGAAATATGAAATGATTAACGATAAATCATTTCACCTCAACCGTTGCTTATACACGCAAAAGTAAACGCCGCAGGGGCACACCGACGAGAACATAACCTGGCGCAAGGCGAAAACGCACTGCACTGCAACCTATGGCGCGGGGAATACACTTTAAAAAGTAGCGGCTGCTCCGGCGAT